TATACAATTGTCACCAAGTGTAAAAAAGTAAGCTGTGGTAGACTTTCTGCTATCTTTGTCACCAACAAAATCAGAATCTACATACCCCTTTAGAGTAAGTTTTTCAGATCTTTTTTCATACACTAGACCCAGATTTAATGTACCAACAATGTACCTTAACAACCATTTCAAACCTACCCAATGGGGCTTTCCAGGGTTGGACATAAATCTGCTCAAAAAACTTATAGCATAGGCTAAGTCAGGCCTGGTTGTTATCGTAGAGAACATAACGGAACCTATAGCATTAGAGTAGGGTATGTTCCTCATTTCTCTAAATTCCTCCTCAGTTTTAGGAGAATGTGCACTAGAAAGATTCATGTGAGCTGCTAAGGGAACGTTCACAGATTTTGATCCATTCATACGAAATTTAGTTATGACTTTGTTTAGATAGGCTTCTTGGGAAATGATTAGTTTATTTTCAGCCCTATCTCTCTTTATAACCATCCCCAAAATCTTCTTAGCATTCCCCAAATCTTTCATATCGAATTCTGATTTTAAAAGGTTCTTCATCTTAGTGATTTCAGTCTTACTTGAACTTGCTAGAAGCATGTCATCTACATACAGCAACAAGTAAACCTCACAGCCCTCCTTACTATCATTATAGTACAAGCATGCATTATATTCACTCCTTTTAAAATCTATCTTCAGTACATAGGTATCAAACCTTATGTACCGCTGTCTAGGGCTTTGTTTAAGCCCATACGGAGATCTTTCTAATTTGCACACACAGTTTATTTTACCCTTCACCTCAAAACCTTGAGGCTGACTCATGTAAATATCCTCTTCCAATCCCCCATGTAGGAAAGCAGTCTTGAATCTAATTGTTCCAGTTCCCAGTTGAACTGAACAACCAATGCCAAAAACAGTCTAATTGTTTTGTACTTTATCACAGGAGAGAATATCTCATTGTAATCAACCCCCTCCTTTTGAGTGAACCCTTTCGCCACTAATCTGGCCTTATACCTAGGGGGATCACTACAATTATTTCCTTCTTTCAATTTGTAAATCCACTTACATTGAACTATCCTATGATCCTTAGGTTTGTTAACTAACTTCCAAGTTTTATTCTCCATTAAAGATTCCATTTCTTCCTGTATAGCTTTTAGCTAATTTTTAGAACATTTTCCATTAACAGCTTCTTCATAACTAGCAGGTTCTATCTGTTCAAGGGCTTCACCTGAAACCAAGGCAAAATGAGTCAAGTTTAGGGATTCATATCTAGGATTTGGCCTGATCTGCCTCCTCCCCCGATCCCTAGTAAGCTGATAATCTTGATTAGGTGGCTGATCATTAAAATGTTCAACTTCACCTGGTTCAATTTTATCTTGAAGTTCAGTCACCTCTTCAGGTTCAGGTTCAATTTCAATTTCAATTTCATTTTTATGATGTATAGTGTCATTTTCGTCATTCCCAGGTGTAGGTGAATTTAGCCTAGTCAGCTTCACCTCAGTCTGAATACTCTTCTCAGTTTCAGATTTGTTAGTTTCTTCGATTTTCTGTTTTAGACATGGCATCTCAGATTCATTAAAGACTACATTCCTGCTGTTAATAATCTTAATGCCTTGGACCCCTAAAACCCATAACCTATAGCCCTTCACATCCTCGGGATACCCTAACATCACACACTTGACAGCCCTCGGCTCAAGTTTCCCTTCAGATTGGTATGCATATGCAGCACATCTAAACATCCTCAAGTGTTCTAGATTTAGAGGCTCTCCCGTCCACAAGTCCTATGGGGTCTTAAACCCTATACTGCTGGACGGAGACCTATTAATCAGATAAGCTGCAGTACTTGCAGCTTCAGTCCAAAAACCTTTCGCAAGGCCAGAGCTAATCAACATACATCTAACTTTGTTCATTAAGGTCCTGTTCATTCTTTTAGCGACCCCATTTTGTTCAGGTGTGTATTTAACAGTTCTGTGTCTTGTTATACCTTTCTGCTTACAGAAGTTGTCAAATTCGTTATTACAGAATTCAAGCCCATTATCAGTTCTTAATATTTTTAGTTTCTTGTCTAACTGATTCTCAACAGACTTTAACCAAACTCTGAATTTTCCAAAAGTTTCTGACTTAGCCTTCAAAGGATAAATCCAAACTTTTCTTGAGTAATTATCCACTTAGGACAAGAAGTACTTGCTCCCACCAAATGTGGAGTGCTTCTCCGGGTGCCATAGATCATCATGGACATAGTCCAAGGGTCTGCTGGTCCTATGAGAGCTAGTTTCAAAGCTTACCTTATGGGACTTACCCAAGATACAAGTTTCACAGAATTCCATAGTTTCGATGTCATCCTTTCCAAGTAATTTCTGATTACTTAAAGATTGAGCCCTTTAAACCCAATGTGACCCATTCTGTTATGCCAAAGTTCAGTTTTGTCTTTACTCACAGTAAGAAGGCTATAATCAACTGGTATTTCAGTTCTACCCTCAAGATAGTACATACCATTCCTCTTAGGCCCTTTCATAACTATGAGAGAACCCTTCATAATTTTCAAAATCTTATTACCAGACTTGAAGGTATATCCCTCATCTTCAAGAGAACCTCAGGAAATGAGGTTCCTTTTTAAATTTGGGACATATCTAACATTTCTAAGTTGCGTGACGGCCCCATCGTACATTCTGATGGCTATGTCACCAACTCCAACCACATTTTGAGAATTATTGTCTCCCATGTAAACCTTTCTAGGTTCAGTCTCTCTATAGTTATAAAACCAAGACCTATTAGGGCACATATGGAAAGTGCACCCTGTGTCTAGAATCCAATTTTTGTCAAATTCTTCCTCAGACATATTCATGACATGCAAACTATTAATTTCAGAAACAATAGCAGTATTATCAACATCAGAATTGTTCGGGTCTTTTTGTTTCCTTTTCCAGTCGAAGCAGTCTTTCTTGAAATGTCCTAACATTCCACAGTGATAACATTTCTTATCGCTTTTATCTTTAGATTTAGATCGCATTTTAGATTTTCCTCTCCCCTTCTTGTTATAGAAGTTAAATTCTTTCTTTTCAGGTCTTCCCCTAACAAATAGACTCTCTTCCCGGGAATGAGTTCTGTTGTCTCTTTTTAATTCAAGTTCTCTTGATTTTAAAGCATCGGAAACAATAGCTTGAGTGAGAGTGTCCCTACCATATTTTATGGCATTTTTCATTTCTCTATAAGATTTGGGTAAAGAGTTTAGCAATATGACAGCTAGATCCTCATCTTCAAATTTTTTATCATTATGAGCTAGACTCTTAACAATTATGCTAAAGTCACTCAAATTCTCCTCGACATCCTTCCCCGGGTCCATCTTAAAACTAAATAACTTTTCCAACAGGTATATTTTATTAGGTAAAGTTTTAGTTAAGAACAAGGCATCTAAAGCAATCCACAAAGTTCAAGCAGTTTTAGCACTATCAACTTATCTCATAATGTTGTCAGATAGATGCAAAATTATAGAACTGTAAGCAATTTCATTCATGTCTTCAATTTCAGTTGGTTTAGCTTTTAACTCATCAGAAAATGTAGCGGGATCATCGAGAGCTTTAGCAACTCTCTGTTGGCCCAAAATGGCCCTCATTTTCTGTTTCCATATCGAGTAATCCCCTTTCCATCAAATTGCGATAATTCGACCCTCGAACCCATTACAGATTCTGTAAAAGAGTGGCCTGTACTCGTGGACAAAACAGAAAAGGTTTTGAAAAATTCTTTTCCAGATAATCAATATAAAAATATGAATGCCGAGTTTTAAAAACAATTTTAGAAATGAAGCACAACAATCACATAATCCGTTCACGAAACACAGGTATATAATGCAAGTAAATATGTTTCCATGTTACAAATTAATCACAAGAATTCAATCAACGAAATTCACAAATAAGCAACCAAGCAATAATCAGGCATAAACCGGTAAGGATACCAAACCTAACCTAACGGAGAGTTTGGAATAATCTTACCAAACTACTGTTGAAAAACAGTATATATACCACCAAGTTTCTGAACCAAATTGTTGTAGACGTCAAGCAGGGGCAAAATCGTCCAACTTTTTCTGTAAAACCTGAAACAGAAAACAAACGACATCAGTGTGTTCAGAACATCGAAATAAGTAAACTGCCCAAAAAAAGCTCACCGGAAAGTCCAGCCACGCGCCGTCGTCGGAGTCACGCGCCGCGCGGTCGCCGGTCCGATCACGGGCCCAACCACAGGGAGCACCTTGGTCTGCTGGTCATGGGTCCAAGGTCAGTTTCGCCAAAAGGTCAGTCGTTTGGCCGGAATTTGGATTTTCATATTCGGCCAAAAAATGGGAATTGCGATTTCCTTGAAGTTTTTGATCGATTTTTGGACAAATTTCACTCCTCCTAGCTCTGATACCAATTTGTTGGGATTCTTGGAGTTCAATCAAACAATAATCATCAAATAATAAAGGGTTTCAAGGCAAAAACAATGAAAAAGGGTGGAAAGATACAACCTGTCTCGACCAAATCTATCCAACAGTTTTTCTTCCTTCTCTTATGGCTGATTTAGGCTCAAGAACGGCTCCATGTAATGCTACTCACCTTCCAAAGAGAGAGAGAGAGAGAGAGAAATCGGCAAAGAACCCACCAACCTTCAAGCTAAAACCGAGAGACCAAAGAAGAAAGGGAGAGGGAGTCGACTTAAGAAGGGAAGAAAAAACCCATCCCTCTGCCAAAAAACGTGGGAAGCCTAATGGTGTCAACCATCAATACCATCAAGTCAAAACATCTCCCTCAAAACAAGGCAACACAAATATCTCAAAATAGATTAAATCCCGACCGTCGATCTCATCCAATGGTCCACAAAAATCTGAACAAAATGGAGATAAGATAACCATATTCTCACAGTAATTCGTTGAAACACAAAGAAGAATATTAAGGGCTTGCTTGACAGTGTTTTCAAAAGTTCAAAGTTAATTCTAAGACTAAAAAGTTACTTTTAATCTATTCCCCACGATTTAAATGATGGGTGGGAAGCTTGTGAGAGTTTCAACCTACAGGTGCTGCCAATTGAATGGTCTTAGGGACTATTGGGCCTCTAATGTGTGCTGCAAGGAAGGTAAGGAGGGAGACGGCGGCATGATTTCATTGAAGATGTAGTTCGTTTTAGATAATTTAGGTGGCACAGGAAGCTTTAGATAAGGCAACGACGCTAGGGTTTTCACCTAAGGCTGCTGACAATTGAATGGTCTCAGGGTGTTGGATCTCCAATCTGTGGTGTGAAGTTGATCGAAGGTAGGAAGGGAGATAGTGGAGTGATTCCGTAGCCGATGAAATTTCCTCTTGATAGTTTGGGTGGCAAGAAGGAAGCTTTACGGATTTGAGGTGAAAGTTGTAGTGAGTCGTGGATTTGAGGTGCCGACGATGATTTGGGTGGTGTCAACTACGGTTAAGTGGAGTGAGCTGTGGTGGGGGATGACGAGTAATTTGTATCCAGTTAATTTGGTAAATTGTAACCGACAAATAAGTTATGATCTATAAAGATGTGTGATTTGAGACTAAATATGTAATTGTAACACAATTTGTGTCTTTGTGCCGGTGACGTTGTGTGATTTATGATTAGTACTTGAGCATGACCATAAAATTTATGTTATTGTGAACTTGGCGTATTCAATTAATAAACAGGTCACAAAATTTTATTAGTGACCACCCAATTTTTGAAAGAATTCCACAATGTTTTTTAAATCTGAAAGGGTATCTTGAAGTTACTGTAATTATGCGTTTTCCCCCTATATTAAATGCATATCTCAAGAGCTTACTTCACAATCTTCAATACTTTAATTGACCTTTTCACTGCCATGCGTTGAACATCTTCAAAATTTTGGGTGTCTTCACTAATATACTAATTAATATCTTAACTAACAGTACGACAGATAAAAGTACCTAAAAAGGTGCAAAATCTCTCAGGTCATAGAGGAAAAACTTTTCATCTTCAAAAAGTTGCCCATTGGAATATGAAAGGGCGTCTGTGGTTATATAACAGACTCTTATTGACAAATGCAACATAAATAAAGAAAAAACAAATGGGGGAGAGGTCCAATCTACCAGCAAGATTCTTTAAGGTTATTTTGCCTTCAATCACTACCCAACAAAGACTAGTAAGTAACAAATTACCTTCAATTTTAGGACAATGTGTTTTTCAATCCCAGCTGTTTCTTGTAATCCATAAAGTTTGATGTCTTGATTATGAGTTTTAGACAACCATTTTTCTTGACTTCATTGATACTAAAATCGAGTTGTCAAATATATTATTTGTTTGTGCAGAGGATCCCGAACAAATTTGTCGAAAAATATGGAAATGAACTCTCTGGCGTTATCAAACTTACTGATCCTATTGACAGCACTTGGTGTGTGAGGTTGGTAAAGGTGGAAACGACACTTTGGCTTCATGATGGCTGGGAAAAGTTTGTCGAGGATCACTCTATCGGTTATGGCTATTTTTTACTCTTCAAATACAAAGGGAATTCTTGCTTCAATGTGCATATATTTGACTTGACGGCCACTGAAGTTGACTATCTTGATAATAATCGTAATTTTAAAGGAACCAATCATGATACACGGAACATTTCTTATAAACGAGATATTTCTTCTTCAAGAAATGAAGGTGGATTCAATGCAACACGTGGTAGAACCCATGGAGTCAAAAGAGGTTACAGTGATGCAACTGAGACCTCAAAATCTCTCCGTTTCTATCGAACACGAAGCAAATGTAAAATAGAAGATGGAAGACTGGAAATTAAAAAAGAGAATTTGAATATACCAAGTAAGTTATTCACAGTAATTTTTGCTTATTATTTGCTTTTTTTACCTTTAGAAATGATTTATTGATCACCCTCTTTTATGCAGGAAGCTTTTCGCCTAAAAATCCCTCATTTACAGTTGTTTTGAAACCTTACCATCTGTTAAAATATACGTTGGTAAGCTCTCAAGCCTTATGTTACTTTGTGATTTCTTTAGTATCCTATTATGTTACTCTTTTAAGTTTATTATGTTGTATGTATTGCATTTATTTGATCATAACATGGTTCGATTTTTCTTATTTCTGAAGTACGTGCCAGCCGCATTTGCTGAGCATCTTGCAAGCAAGTCAGGGTACATTGAACTTTGTGATTCTAACGGCAAGAAGTGGCTGGTCCGTTTCACTAGAAACATAAAGCCTAACGAGAACAATTTAAGCAGCGGATGGGCGACAGTTTTAAAGGAAAAAAGTCTCAAAGTGGGAGATACATGTGTATTTGAACTGATTGACATCAATAAACTCATGCTAAAGGTTTTCACGTTTTGCAACACTAGCACAGCCCGAATCAAGCAGTCATCTAGTTAGAATGGTACCAGAATGATCATGAGCACATTTTCCTTCTGTTGGTAGGTTGATGACCTCAACCAACTATTTGTGCTTAAGTTTTTCAATCATGTTTATGTCAACTGCAATATTTGAGGCTATTATTTCGGAACTCAGTGACAATCTAAATTCTGTTTGGTCCATAATCTTCAAACATTGCAAACTATGGCATGATATAGGGAATAGCTCATAGATTTATATTACTCCCTCCGTCTCATTTATATACCCTTATTTATATTTGTACAATTTCAGGATTAAGTGAGAAAAATTAGTTATAACTAGATAAATTAAATAAGAGTATATTAGTAAATGAACAAAACAAAACATTCTCAATAAATAAATAAAACTATATAAATGAAACAAAAATAAGAAAAATCAGTCTATATAAATGGGACGTGGGAAGTTTGATATACAAACAATCAAAATTAATCTCCTGAAACGACACACTATGATAGGTGGTGTAATCAATTTTACAACCACCTATTGTAGTATGCCATATTATCCGAATGCTTAACATAAATTAAACATTTGTGCTTAAGAGATCAATCCTGTATAAACAATAGAATTTGACTAATCGACTTGTCAAACTCGTTATCCTAATAGTTGGGCCTTGAATTATTATTATTATTATTTTTTTTATTATTATTATTATTTTGAAAAAAATTTCATAAATTAGAGGATAATTATTGCCCATTTCAAAAGTAAGAATAAAAGTTTCAAATTTCAAAAATCAAATATTTATTAAAATTTATTTATAATTTAATTAATTAAATATTAAGGTCACAAATATATATAATTTGATTACAGATTTACAATTTAATTAGCTACTTATTATTTCTCGATCACAAATTAAAAACATTTAATGTCAAATTATTTTACGATCACAATTCAAAAAATTTGTAGGTCACAATTTGTGAATCAGTTACAGATCAAAAATTTATTCATCACAATTTATTTATGGGTTACGAATCACAAATATTATAGATCACAATTTATTAGTAGGTCACAAATTATTAATTTTTTAGATCACACATTATATCTTAATCACAATATATCTTTTTTATTGGCCACATATTATTTATTGATAATGGATTAATTAATTTAATAGTTACAATCAACTAAATAATTTATGAACCCATCAATTCTCGTGACAATCACTGTCTCGCCAACATCTCACCTTCACCACCGCCACCCAAAATCGCCACCCAAAATCTCTTGCCACTTTGTTAGTCTCCACCAATAGAGAAAATCAAACCACGAAACCACTACACACGAGCACTGTGAACGCTTGACACTACACATCGGCCTCAACCACTAGATTCACCACTGCCAACCACCGCTACAACATCGCCAGCACACAAAAACCATCACCATCGTCATCCCCACCAACAACTACAAACACCCATTCTCTTTTTCAGCTCCAATCTACAACCACCACCACCAAATTGCATCTCCTATGCCATCCCACACCCGCCACCACCGTCGCCGACCACCATATATTTGAAACATGAAACTTTCCTATTCAATTGAAATTTTTGAAAATTTTGATGGACTTTTTTTAAGTGATGATTTTTGTGAATTTCGTGGATCTTTTATAAATTTGTATGGAATTAGTGGAAGTTTTTTTGTAAACTTCTATGGGTTTTCATTTTAAATTTTTTATATATTTTTGTGAAATTTAAAAGAATTTTGAAGACTTTCATTTGAAATAAAATTCACGTGGATCTAGTGTGAAATTCTCACATATGAGGTGCTAATTCTCACAATTCTCTTTTTCATTCCCCTTCTTCTTCTCATATAATAAAAAAATTGAAAAAATAAAAATTTAGAACCTTAATTAAATAAATAATAATCAAAATAATTATATATATATATATATATATATATATATTTTCACAAAAAATGAATGAAAAGAGAAAAAAAGTTTCAAGAATCTAATTTAATCTTTTCATAGAAAATAGAGATAAATAATAAGAGTGAGAAATAAAGATTAATGAAATATAATCAATAGAAAAAAATAAAATTTTAATCATACATACTTATGGAATGTTAAAGGAAAGAAAAATCGAAAAAACATAAATTTGTGAAAGTCTCTCAAAATCTCGTGATTAATGAAAAACAAATTTTAAAATGTTATATGAGTACTTTCTATTTAAAAATTAGTATTCCTTGGACTTTTATAAAAGTCTCTAGAAGTCATAAAATTTGAATACCCTAAGACTTAGACTTCTAAAAAGTTTTAATTAAATACTCAGTAACTTTTTAAAAGTTTATAAAAATTTCAATTAAACACACCGTGACTTTTAGAGAGTTTAAAAATGTCTCAATTAAATACCTCTAAACTTTTTAAATTCTAAAAAGTCATTAAAAGTTTCAATTGAATACAATCCTTAAATAAAGTCAAAAAAACACGTAATCATATAGCATGTATCGAACAAATTGTTGGGGGCGGGGGGCTATGCTACATATATATTATGATATTCATATGTATAATATGGACGCCATAATTTACACGTAGAATTAACCTTGTGGTGGATCTAAATGTTTCGGGACGGGGAGACGAGTTGTAGCCATCACACACTTCACAAAACAAAGGATGCGACACACTATCTAAAGTAATATGCGACTACACAGGCAGTACAAACATGATCTAACAAAAAGAAAACCAGAATAAAATAGAAAAGACTTGTGTATCGCTCAGACGCCATCTCCTACTTTTTACATTTGATTTTGATCTTGAGGATCAACGTGAAATGACTCTGTTTTATTCAGGTGGAAAGCAATCAATTCACGGAAAATCTCGCCCTGATAATTCAATCATCTGTAGGAAATAAAATCATTGGCGTTTTGATTAATGAAGAATTTTTGTACAGGAACTGATGGCGAGGGGGATTGTTAAAAACTACTGGTCTCGCCCTGTAAAAGTTATCGCAATCTGGTTCTTCTGTGCAGTTACTTTTTATTGTCTATTCCATATGGCCCTCCGTAATTCTAATTCTCACAAACCTACTACTGTTTCAGGTAATCATCAGTTTTTTTAATCGATTTACCTCTCATTTAGTTGATTAATTAATGTTGAGCTTGATGAGAATTGTTGACTGATTTCTTCAAGCTAATTTAATTATTTTGACTGTTTTCTTGTTAAAGTTTGGGTATATAATTTTTTTTCATTTTAGGTATGCTAATTAAATGACTTCAAAAAGTTCAACTGGTGAAGTGCTTGGTCCGCATAAGTAGAATAATTTAGAGGGTTAAATGATCCGAGTCAAGCTGAAGCAAGCTATACTCCGCGAGTATTGAGTAAAAGCTAAAGCCTAGTCGAGCCATACCAGTCATCTCCTTCAGTTGGTTTTTCTTTCAGTGAGAGTTTACTTTTGCTCGTTTGTAGCCCAGTTGAACTATTATTTTTAAAGTTCAAAAATCTTGATTATTGTTTGATCAATTTTCTAAATTAATTGTTCTAATAATTCAGAGAGCTTGTATGATCTAACAAACTAGATCTTTCCACATCGAGACAAGAATATGTAACTTCTGTAGTTTTGTAGTTTGTGAGGGTTACATGAGTCTTAGTGGTTAAACTAATACACATGCTGAAGTCCAAGTAAAAATAGGGATTTATTTTGTGCTGAGGTAGAATGTTATTGTGGAAATCCAATAATGACTACTCTATATGACAGTCTGGAATTGTAGCCTCAGAATTGTGATTAGATGAATTTCATCCATATTTGAATTTGATTTAACGAACTTCAATTTCAACCTGCAAAACTCTATACAACTAAATACAGACTTGCTGTGGGAAAGATTTTTTCCCATCTGATAACTGGAAAGAATAAATAAGTAACCATTAACTAGTATGACAGAAATATGGAGGCATCATTTATTTGTCGATTATTCTTGGGGCCACATTGAATGTTTGTATTATATTTCATTAATATATTTTCCAAACGCTCAGTTCAGTGCTCTCTCCTTAGTACTTCATATATAAAACGGAACTCTAGGTGGCTTACAAATTTCTCTGAGACTGAGTAGTTGCATTTGTATTTGCAACAGATTCATCCATTTCAAATGCTGAGCAGAGGTCAAGAATATATGCAAAAATGGCTAAAGATTTGGATGAGAATGGAGCTGTTTTTCTGAAACAAGGAGAAACTTCTCAGTCGTTATCATTGTCAGATCTTTTTACTCTGGAGAATGGCAATGTAACACCTGTGCTTAAGGTAAATATTGAACTTGAGTCACATTAGGCATTTTCAATGTAATGCCAGCCTACTCTTTCGGCTGGATGATGACTGTTTTCCTATTCTGTAGGCTGCAAATCCTCCAGTGCGAGCAAATGTTTTGCATCTGAGCCCAGAGTACTCTGTTCCAATCTCGTGAGTTTCATTTCAGCTTAGAGTCTTCATAAATTGCTGTGTCATATAAAAGAAACAAGAGAGCCTTTGTGTGATTGAAGCAAGGGGAATCTGGCCTCTTTAATAGGGGATGCATATGTGCATGTTTATTTTTCTCCATTAGAATGCTTGTGCTTGAACAAGTGATGGGAGATTCAAAAGTCTCAAGCTTCTACCTACTTCCTTTAGTTTCATGCATATTGGTATGAGTGGGAGGCTGTGCAACTGGAAGCAGATTACAGGAAAGGATCTAGTCTTGGTTGTCGGTAATCTCAAATTAATGTAGTGGATTTTGAGATTATAATTCGATTTTATAAATATGTCAGTTTAAGTGAACTTGAAGACGAGGTTTACTAAAAGCCTTAAGCCCTGGGGTTATATGGTGAGAAATTTGTTGATGAAATAGTATCTCCAAAATAATTGGCCATGGGTGACATAATTCAAGGCACATAAATTACATATGAACAAGCTCTAATACCCTTGCCTCTAGAAAGATTTATAATGAAACAAAGTGCACTTTGGCACTACCAAGAATTTTAAATGATTGGGGCACAAATCTGAATAAGGAGCAATAATCACATAAAATAGGAGATAAACATGAACAATGATTGAAATCAACACTCACATAGTTAACTTGGATGCTATTATTGAAGCTTTCATCTCAAAACAGCGTTGACATCAGGGATAGGTATTCAAGCTTTCTGGACTTTTTGATGTAGTTAGGGTCACCTACATGTGTACCTCCCAAGGTTTGCTCTAACAGAAAAGGAATATATGTCAAGTTTCCATGATATTAAATTTGAATCTTTGCCCATGTGTCTATTCTTGTTACTGTTACAATTTATGAGCAATGTAGGGTTACATGTAATGTAATTCTGCAATAAGTAGGATAAATAGCCTATAGTTACCTCATTTTTATTATTACATAATTGAAATGATTGATTTCCTTCTTACCTTGATCTTTCTGCAGAGAGGCTGTGAAAAGTATATTTTCTCCATATTTCAATAAAGGTAAAGAGAACAATGCTTCATAGCTACCACTTGATATCAATATTTCCTTTTTCCTTTGGTGTTTAACCTTGAGCTACACCAGTGCTCAGAAGCTTTTATATTAAGCGATAAAACCTTTAACTATGTGCATGAAAAGAAATTCTTTATTTGTGTATCTTTTCCTGTTATCTGCATGATAATTTGTTCTTTGCTTAGCAATCTGGTTTCAGAACTCCAGCATGTACCATTTTAGCATGTTCCATGCGTCACATCACATAGCTCCTGTGCCTGCCACAGAAGAGGAGGTACTCATACCATTGGCACAAGTCTTCAAGTTTCCTTCTTTTACTCTTACCAGAACACAGCTGTCACTCATGCACAACCCTCTTGATCTTCAGATTGAAGTTGAGGCTGGTGCTGTAAAAGCTGTTGCAGAGGATGTCTGCCCATTAAATATTATCTTAGATAGGGTGGTTTTGACTTCAACTGGTGTGCTAGTAGGTTGTTGGCAGGTTCTGTTTTAATCTCTTTCAACTCTATTAGCCTTCTTATGTACAATTTTCATAACATATTGGGACATAAGATGGGAGGTCTGCCCAAAGATCTTAGGATGAGCTACTTTACATGCAAAAATATCAAATATATTATTTCCTTAGATATGAGTTATAAGAGGACAGGGTGCTAGATTGATATATGCGTATGAGTACAATTTTCTTTCCCTTAGACCCTTATTTGAGTTTCAGATTGCCTCAGTTACCATTCTTTCAAGACCAGCGGCGATGCTTATTTGTATTGGGAAGTTTTCCCAATTTTTTCCCCTCTAATTTGGACGTTAGATTTCTGCCATTGTAAGCGATCAACATGTTATGTTTTGGGATTTATAATAACCTGCATTACATATTGAACTGGGATGGTGTTTAGGGGTTGTTTGACAAATCGTTTGATAACAATTTTAGCAGATTTTGATAAACATTGATGAAATTGGCAGTTGAAAAGTTGATAAAAATTATGGGTCCTATGATATGTGCGGTTATAATTACTTGTTGACTTTGACCTCAACTTTTTAAGCTTTTGCAAACAAGGATTTAATTAACAAGATGTCACACATTTGATGGCAAAGAGTTTGTTTAATTATCAATAACAAGAAATGAAGATGACACACTAAAAAGCAATTTTTATTTATTATTATTATTTTTTTTTCTATTTACCATCACAAAATTTATATTTCTACCTGTTGATAGCTTTATTTGACTTCATTTCATGACCTACTTTGTGCTATTTTTCTTCATCATAGCCTTTGTTCTTTATGAATCTTTTACTTTTATATATTACCCTTCATTAAGTAAATGTTCAAATGTCAGTCTCAAAGTAGTAATCGATGTTAGATGGGAATACATCTATTTCAAGTCTGTTGTTTATTCTAGTAAATTAGGCTGATTATGGAATAGTTACTTTGCCCATTGCAAATTTGTTGAGAATTGTGCATGACTGGATTTTTGAAATGTGAGTAAATGATTATCGAATCTCTTACTGATGATTTCCTGCCCTTTCTTGTCCTCTATAGATGGTCTCTGGTACAGATCCAGTAACAATTCGTGATAAACTTAGAACTGCTCTTCCACGTGCTCCAGAAAAACAACTTGTAAGGACCACATGGAATTTTTTTCTCTTATTTCTCTCCCAAGCATGCTAACAATATTCCTTGTCAAGTAAAAGTAGTGGTTTTGGGAAATGTAGATTTGGTCACCCAATAGATGCTTGCTCCCTTTGTCGTCATATTAATTAATTTTATATTTTTGTCATCTTTACGCTCCTATCAATATGTCTTGATGACTTATTACTCACATTTGCAATTTTATAATGCTAGAAGCTATGTAATGTTGGACAAATTTACAATTAAGATTTTATAGAGACTGACATGCAGTTCTGTAGTTTGCAACAGTTATCCATTCATTTTCAGACATCTTTTATCAGTTCCTTGCGTTTTCACGACATATCATATTATTGGAATTACTTTAACTGTGACATTTCTTAATAATACTACTTGAGCTTTAAAATTCTAATCTGAGTAGGACTGGAAAGTTTACGAGCTTGAAACATAATTGCAGGCTTTTAACCACTTCTATAGGTATTTCAAATAAGATCCTGTACTTGGACTTTGACTTCTATTTCATAGCATTTTGGTTCTTTCTTTTACCCTAAATCTAGGTTCTTCCTTAATTTACCCTTTGGAGTCTGAGCCCCTGTTTGGGCTCCGTTAAAAATGGATTTTGGGAAAAAATATATTTTGGAATAGGGGTTTTTTTGAAGAATGTGTAGTTAGAAAGTAAAGAAATGTTTTTTGTTTGTGTGTAATATTATTTTGTTGGAGAATGTGCGGTTGAAAGTAAGAGAGAGAAAAATGCATTTTCTAAAAAATGGAGCCCAACCAGGGGCTAAAATCCTGTGTCACCAAGCCTAAAAATGGTCCTGGTGTCTTTATGTAATTTTTTGTTTGCGTTGGTTCTGCATTACAATCAACATTATTCAGTTGATTTTGGAAATCTGAATATCCTTATCTAAAAATTTGATTGGCCATGATTAGATGGGTAGCATTACATGTTAGTTTCAGTGATAAAAGTTAAGGCGTCGCGGTTTTCAACAATTTCCTTGAGTTTTTTTTTTTTTTTTTTTTTGGGTGGAATATCTTCTAATCTTGATGTGATTTTCTGCTACAGTATGATAAGGCAATGCTCCACACTTCATTTGCAAGGCTTCTGGGTCACCCTACCAAGTTGTCTGAGGTATAGCTCAGAGTACTCTGTGATCTGTTTCAGGAGATTTCTCACTACTTGCATGTATTAGCAGCTTGTCCAGTATTTCGCATTTAGGTCTGTACCCAAGCGAACAAGTGGAATAACTCATGTCATACATGATTTGAGGTGTTGTAAGAACCATGCATAAACTAACTTGGTAATAATTTTGTGCATTTCCTTGATTATCCCCGGAATGTAGCCAGCTCACCAAGCAACCAAAACTGATGTGGATGATTACGTTAGATAGCATAAAAATTTGATTTCCTTTCCATTGCTGATAACTGGTTTTCGTTGTTCTTTTCTATAGGAAGAAAATAATAGTTCACCACTCCAAATTTTCCACGAGCTTGTAAGGACACTGAACAACCAAATTCGAGGATATCAGGTAGTTTATTATATGGTGGTTAAATTATGTATTTTATTTTAATGAACAGTTAAAGCCCTTATCATGGAATCATTTGTACTTAGATCTCTATTTTAACAATATAGGTAGGACCTGGCACGGTCATGCTAAATCCAATGCTTAGTTGACATATTGAATTCTATTATTCTAAATCTGTCTTCCCTGTCCTCTGGTATGAATTTTGACCAAATGGTGGACTGCTTCTACAGCGCTGCTTTTGGCATTCTTGCAATTGTTTCTTTTTTGTTTAGAATGATCTACTGAGCACCGGTGCTCATCTTATGGTAAGAACTGGTGACGTGTCATAGAAATTCTTTGATGTGTTTTGAACTCAATTCAAATGGTGAAGCTTACCATAAATTTATCCACTAACGGTTTGATATGACACATGCTTAATATAAAATGAGCACGGGTGCTTATTATATCATTTTTGATTCGTTAAATGCCTGTCTATTGCAAAGTTGGGCTAATGTTTCTCCATCATAGACTGTAAATGCAGCTTTTTCATTTTTCACGTTGCTTGTGTTAGGCAACTGTCTCGGAGCTCTGGTACGTAGAAGAGCTTGATGTGCTGGCACTTGCACTGAATGGAAGAATGAAGACTCGCAAGTTCAAACTTGGCTGTTCAAAATCTTAAAAGGTTCCAAAGGTTCGATTACTACTAGATCCTTCAAAAGATCCAGAATTATCCCGCTCGCATGACCCCGACTCTTGAGAATTAAAGAAAAGTAGAATTTCTTGTTCTTTCCTGTTTCTTCCTGGACTTACTTTTCAAGTTTCAATAATCTGAACCTAATAGCCAAACTAAAAAGTTATATGTATTCTGATGTACATATTTTATTTAAAAACAGTTCTATCTAGTGACATTCTAGGTGGCTACACTTTGCCCTTGTTTGAGCCCCATTTTGGGGGAAAATAAATTTTGAAATAGTAAATTGATGAGAAATGTGTGGTTAAAAAATAAGAAAAAGTTTTGGATTTGCGTGTAATATTATTTTATTAAAAAATGCGTTGTTGAAATGATGTCAAAATACTGTTTAAAAATATATTTTTATGAAAAAAATGGGGCTCAAATAAGGACTTTATATGTTCAATTAAATAAGTTAATCGCCCCTTCAACTGTGTTAGTTGTGATGAATATCATTAATCTTTATTTAAGTGCTTCAGTTTTTTTAGGTACTTTGATCTGCTTTTGAAAATATTTGTGACATATAAAAGAGGAATCCATGTTACGTAATGTGATGTAATTTGTTTCGGATAGTACTTGTTGGGTTAAATATACATTTTTAACGCCAGTTTGGTACGAATTATTTAAAATTCATTTTTTGTTTAAAAGTTCATTTTCATCCACCCATTATTACGATAAAATAATTTTGCATGTGGAGTTTTAGCCCTTGTTTTAGCTCCATTCTTTGGGGAAAAAAATGCATTTTTAAAATGTATTTTGGTATCATTTCAACCACATATTTTTCAGTAAAATAATATTACACATAAATTCAAAATTTTTCTTGTTTTTTAACCACATATTTCTCATCAATACATTATTCAAAAATGCATTTTTCCCCTCAAAATGGGGCTCGAACAAGGGCTTAATTTTTTTTTTCCTTTCTAACCATATATATTTTTAAAAAATTACTTTTCATAAAATTTATGTAAAAAAATCTACACCAAAGAATAAGGGTGTCAAATATGCTTGTCGGCTCAACAATTTTCAACCCATGACAAGCCAACCTAAAAAATATATATATAATTTGAAATGAAGGTAGCAACATGTTGCCTTTTGAGGCAGTACAAGTTGCTTGCACACAAGCAACCACTTAGCTGTTTGTGTTTTATTAATTTAAAAAAAAAAAAAAAAACACAAGCCAGTTCAGTTCAATAAGGTCTGAGTCAAAAGTTCGAGTTAAGCTTAAATTTTGTGGTCGAGAAAAATTCGGTTTGACTTGAACCATTGTTACTCGAGCTCGAGTTTGAGCCTTAAGTTTCGGTTAATGAGCCTACTTGATTTGACTCATTAACGTCCCTATCAAAGAGTTCCCTAATTGTTAAATATTGCGATCCTTAGATCTTGAATGCGCTCTGAAAGAAAAAATTGCTTGATAAAATTACGAAAGGTTTTTGCACAAGCTCTTTGCAGGTGTTGCACTAGCAACATGATATGTGTTTTTTTTTTTTTTTTTTTGGTTGGAAATAAAAATGGGGGTTTTTTTTTTTTTTTTTTTTGGATCGATAATCAATCAGTGTGTTACTTGAAAAAAATTTGTTAAGGAGCCCTTTTCGCGTAGCATCACTGATTACGAAATTGTACACAGAATTTTGTCTATTAAAAGTTCAAAACCATATCCCATATCTTTCATTTATTTTTATTTTTCTTCTCCTCGTGGCTCAATGGATGAATTGACATTATGAGCACGTGTAAACTTGTGTATACCACGAGCCATTAGTGCGTGACCCCAATGTTCCAAATTTAAACACATGCTGACAATCTGTGGATGCCACACGCCCTCATAACGTGTAACTTTAAATCTAATAATATTAATTGGATTTGATTAGGATTAAAATTTTAACTTTAAACTAAGCTCTCGTTTGACCCACATTTTTTTAGAAATGAAAATGGATAGAATAATATATTTTTGAAAAATGGGTGATTAAAAAATAGAGAAAGCTTTTTGATTTGCGTGTAATAGTTTTATGCAAGATTTTGTGGTTGAAAATAAAAGAAATAAAAAAGAAATGTAATTTAATGAGTACCAAATGAGGTGTAAATCAAAGTTAACAATAAATTCTAATTGTATTTCATTAGCCATTCGATCATATATTCTATCAATTTTTATCAAAATTTACTAAAAATTCGATTCTAATCCTCAATTGAACATAGACGAGCTGTTGTTTGATCCTCATTATTTTTAAATATATTTTTTCTCTATTATCTCTTTAACCACACATTTTTTACTAAAATAATACTGCAAACAAATTCAAACTTTTTTTTTCTTATTTTTAATCACACATTCTACATCAATTTTTTCTTACTTTTAAAATACATTTTTCTCTATTTTCTTTTTAACCAAACATTTTTTACTAAAATAATATTGTAAACAAATTCAAACTTTTTTCTTATTTTAATCACATATTCTACATCAATGTACTATTTTAAAATGTATTCTACATAAAAAAAAAAAAGGGGGGGAGGGGGGCTTAAACAAGCCCTCTATTATCTATGCGGCATTTGTAGAAAAGTCCAATTTTACATATGTGAATTTAAAAATGTCAACTTTTGATAATCTTTGCCAAAAATGGTCAAATTTGATACCAAATTCTCTATTTTGCCCTTTGATAAAATAGAATAAATAATTTCGTATTGCACATGTCAAATCACAATTAATGCTAGACACAGAAATATCGAGAATAATATTTAAAGTACAGAGAAATATTATGTTCAGAATGAAATGTCATTCTAGACATTTAATAAATCGAGAATAATGTTTGAAATGTCGAGAACATTTAATATTGTGATTTAATATGTGTACTTTTAAAATATAAACGGATTCAAATATCGAAAACAATATTTAAAATATCGAGAACATCATTTTAATATAGCTTCTTATGAAAGCTACTTAGGGGTAATCTCGTCCAAATAATTGTAAAAATTGACATTGAAAAATTTTGAACATTTTTGTAAATAATTATGTCAAAATGGACATTTTTTGTAATTTTGTAATTATTTTATTCTAATTAGTTAGGTAGATAGGCAAAAATATTCCCAACATTATTTTGTTTCTTGATAATAGAAATTTGTAATAGAGCAAATTATATAAACCTTAAAATCCCTTGAGAGGCTTCTTTCTACTTTTAAAAATTTCAAGGAACTCTGTTTTTTTGTTAACATAAATTTCACATTTTATTATTGTCTCGGATGATCCAAATTCATTTGTAAAATCAAATTAGAATAAGGGAATTGAGCGCGTGGAAAAATGGAGAGTGAACGTGTGTTCTTGTGCTAAACAAGTAGAAATACAGCCTGCGTGACATCGAAACTACCTTGTAGGTGTTCGCCACACGCCCCTCTTTTTATTTCATCATCTTTCTCAAATCTTATTCCCAATGAAGAACTTCTCATAATCCAATTCTTCTCAAATCCTCTTTCAATACTTATATGTAAGTAATAGCACTAATTTTCTTGAAATATTTCTTGGCAATATTGTTTTTTATTTTTTATTTTTACTTTTTGTTCAATTATAAAGTGTTTATTTGTATGAATTATCAGAACTACGATGTGGGGTTTCTCTATGGATGGAATCTTGATTTAGAATGTAAAAATGGAAAGTTAAAAAGAAGCAAAAAGATTTGATTTTTGTAGTCCTTGTTGAATGAACATCATAAATCAATGGATCATTTTTTCTTTTTCTTGGTATTTGTTTAATTTTTATATTGTTCATTAATTTTAATTAATTAGAAATTAATCTTTGGGCTTTAAAATTTGTAATCTTGCTCCATGTACAACCTTCTCAATGGCAAGGTCTGTTTTTGGATGAAAATTATTAATTCCTCAATTTTTGGTTGGATAGCATATCAATAACTTGTAGTTCTTATAATTGACGTTATAAAATAGCAGCCTTTTTTGGAAGTCCATTTTTCTGAAGATATAATTTGAATAAATAAGTTTGTCTTTTGTAGAAGTCTGTTTTGTTGAAGATATAAGTTAAAGTCTGAAATCTCTGTAAATGCTCAAGCTATTTAGATGTGGTGGTTCAAATATTATAAGGCAGTTGATGAAGAAATGGATTTTGCTTGGGTGATGTGTATCCTTTCTAAAGGCTTGAGCTTTTAAACGAGATGGTTCAAAATCTACTAGTTTTCTCTTATTTTCTTTGAAAAGAAACAGTGCTGCTTGTAAAATGCCATAAATTTCGTCAAATATATAGATGAGAAAAAAACATTAAATTTGTAACCTGATTATTTGTTTCTGCATTAAAATTGAATCCAGCACCACATTTATGATTTAAATAAATGGTTTTATGCATCTCATTTTTCAGCAGTATTTGCAAGGTGGTAGTGAATCACAAATGAATTCAGGGATTGCTCCTGCAGCTAAGACTGGCATGGCAGTGGAGAAATCACCAATTCGGTTAGTACTTTAACACCCTGCTCTCTTTTTTCAGGCATGGGAATGGCTTTTGATCTTGGAAAAACTAGCTTCATCTTCTTATCTATAATGAAAAACATAGATAAAAGTTTATCCCTATTCAAAGGGTTGACACAAATTTAATTCATGTTCCATTTTGTATTGATATTAGTTTTATACCCTAGAAATGTGGAGACCATAAAAACGGAATTAAGGATGTTATATCTTGTTTAGAATGGTTTACGATTGAAAAATGAGTGTATGAGTTTTTTTTTTTTTTTTTTTTCACATTATGGTGGGGGCAATGTAGGAATTTAATATAGATGAGACTACCTTAATCTACATTGATAACTGAAAAATCCTAAAAAAAATGAATTGTCCATATCATGGGAAAAGAGAAATTAATTGGTCCTGCTATGAAGTATTTAATATTGCGGTTTTGGAGGGATAGTGCGAAGTGATTGATCAAATTATATCGGAAACAAGTATGGAAGGAGTATCATAATTAAATATATCCTGTTAGCAGGGGATGACATCTATTATATCCAAGCCAATTGTTCTTTACTTGTTTAAAGTGGATGATAGGAGTATATATTCATGAACTATCTGTCTAATTCTTTAAGTATCTATTTCGATGAAATAGATTACGATTTATTACATGTTAGTGATCTCTAAGACTTTCAAGTATCCTCCTGGAAGATATATCTGTAATTTTGTTTTAAAGGCTAAATCTGGATCCACAAAATTTAATATCAAAGAAGGAAATAACAGTGGAGGAAAATGGGGGAATGAATTCTATAGAATAACACTGTAGACCATTTCAGTCCCGGTTCTGCAACTTTTGAATGAGCTCGTATAAGAAATATGTGAAAATGTGGTGACACTCATGTTAAAAAGATCCTCATCAACTCTCAATATCAAAGTTTTGAAACTGCTTTTTGTTTCCTGATCGTTTATTTTGGATTACAATATCACAAAAATTGCTCTGTGGACTGGAGGTGTTATTTAGCTCTGAAAATTGCTCAATAAGACGAGCTTCTAAGGTTTTCGAAACATTCGGAAATAAGGTGTTTTTTTGGGGTTATAATGTTGCATCGTCAACAAAATTTTTGACAAGATCCGGGTTTTATGCAATAGGGCGAAGTGTCAGGGTTTAAGATGAGAGAATTCCATGCCAGTTATGGTTCTCTTGTTACACCAGAATGAAGAAAGACAGATGGAAGCAAACCTCTTAAAATAGAAACTCAAGTTTGTAGTAGGGAGAATCACGATCGTATTACAATAAATTAGTCACATGTTGGATGAGAAATGATATTCTTTTGATATTAACATCCAGTTATATGTACCATAGCAATCTTATTTTGTGCAAAAGAATTCAAAATCATCGAACTCTTAGGCAGCCTACTCAGAGATATTTTTCTCCATTATAAGCAACTTCTTTTCTTCTTTTAATTGGAAGCCTCAATTTCAATGCTTGAAAGCAAATAAACCCCATCAAAGCTTAAAGAACGAAATAAAATATATAGTACCAGAAGTACAAGAAAATGTTGGGTGAAGTACAATGTAATATCTCTAGCAGGGTCTCTTGTTCTTCATCCCATAGGATACAACGATTCAACCAAAGTTTTTTGTTTCACATCCATTGTTTAAATGTATTCAGTAAGAATGTTAGAAATTTTTATACTTGTCTGAACCATTTCGTCATACGGATAGCTATTGATGGCAATTGTCATACTTTTGCTTGGCTGTGTACGTTTATGACACACTTTAGATTTGCAGTTTCTTTAAAAAGATTAAATAAAAATTGCTTGGACCTAAAATTATGGCATTCCATCTGTTTGCTTTTATATGATTTCTTGAATTTTTCTTTGCACTCTTACTTTATCCTACTGTTGCTGTGTTGGCTCTGACAGAGCTGCTTGGGGAATTGGAAAATGATCATTCATTGCAACAATTTTCTTCCTCTGAAACTTTTTACATTGCAATAAATTTGATCATTTCACTTGAGAGGCAGGCTTCTGGCAAAGCACTAAATGAAATGCTTGAAGTAGATATTGTATAATGTGAAAAGAAAAGGAATTATAACAGACGCTCTGAGTTGTTGAGCCTTAAAGAAAGTACTGTGTTTATCTCTTCCTCGACCATGAAAAGAAACCTCCTGATTCATGCAAAGAATTACGAGGGAGGATATATTTTAGTAACTTGACTCACCAGCTGCTTGATAAATCTGGATAAAAATATAGGTTTTGTTATGTGTGTTTTATTGCCTAGACAAACATCTAAATCTCTCTGCTAACAGGGTGCATTCTAGCAAAGAAAAGCAACGGCAAATTCCTAAAAGAATCCACAAGGCTGAGAGAGAGAAGATGAAGCGTGAACATTTGAATGACCTCTTTCTTGGTTTGGCTAATTCTTTAGGTAATTAGTTCTAGAAACTATTATGATATTGAAAATATCTGAAGCACAAACTTTTCATATCATCCTATAAACCAGTATTCTCGATATCTGACGTGAAACTTGATGTCTTCAATGACTTTGGTCTTGCAGAACTATCAGATCAGAACAATGGTAAGGCCTTTTTGTTGAATGAAGCCAGTCGAGTGGTGTCCGAAACAATAGCTCAGATCAAGTCTCTGAAAAGAGAAAATGCTGCTTTATTGTCTGAATCTCAATATGTAAGTCCATTGAGCCACACCTTTTTTATGAAAATGTGGTCTTTTAACTTCCTACACCTTACCTACACATTATTTGACTATCCCTTTCCAGAGGGTTGGCAACGGTTCGATTCGGGGTCGGTTCAACCAAAACCATCACCGAACCACCAATTTTTTAGCAATACCATAACCGCATCATAACCACGTAAATCGATTCGGTTCTTTTTGATTCATATCTCGGTTCGGGTTATTAATAACCACGAAAATAAATTATTTTTTATAGGTCCAACCATCAAATTTAAATATTAAAAAAATAAATAAATAAATAAATAAATAAATAAATATATATATATATATATATATTATGAAAGAAAAGTCTATGAAAACAAAAATATAATACTAAGCAAATGTAGCAAACAACATCTCAAATGAAAATGCAAACAATATCCCAATTCAATATCCACATAAAATATATACTCTCATTTCAATATCACAATAAAAAAAATGAAGACTATTCATAAAGTACATTTAATTGAGAAAGAATTTTGGTAGTCAAAGATCTTGCATTACTTGTTCATCTCTAAGTGATATCTACTAATGACATTTGAGCAGAATTCCCATATTTTTGTTCAAATTCAATAATTCTAAAAATTCTCTATAAAACCTCAAGAGATTTTTCATGCAATCTAGTGCGGGGTGAATTCAATAATTTCATAACTTGCTCGTATCCTTGTATTTTCATTGATTATTCTCAAACTTAAAGTGCATATCATTGAGTTCCTCCAGCAATAAAACTTAATATCTCTGGGCAGACTAAGTTTATTAAATTCATCTTTTTATGTGGAAAAAAAAATCACATTTCATCAAATACTCAAACTCGACAAAAACAAAAATAGATACAGAGATAACAACAGCAATTAGCAAACGAGAAGAAGAAGAAGAAAAATACTCTCCTATTTGCGGATGGCAATGCCGAGCAAGAAAGAATACGAAGTGGAGAAGAAAAAAATTTTGAGGACACATTGCAGAGACTCGAGTGAAGACGGCTGTGTGCTAATGTCTTGTTGAATTTGATTCTAATTTTCTTTGTGGTTGGGTTAGTACTTAGTAGGTAAGTGGTAACTACGTTAGGTTACTTAATGGGTTGGTAATGGGTCATAAATTTTGGGCTAAACAAATTATAATAGAAAGAATAATGGAAAGTCCAATTGTCCAATTTTTTTAATTTTTAATTTTATTTATTATTATTAATTTTTTAACGGGTAATCGGTTCGGGGCGGGGCACGGCGCAAATACCATCGGTTCGATTTTTTTCGCCCTATCCAGTTCGGTTAACCGTGATTTTCGATTTTGACAATTCGAATTGTCATCTTTTTCACCTGATAATTTCGTTATGTAGATAACCGTGGAAAAGAAGGAACTACAAGATGAAAATTCTGCTTTAGAGGCTCAAATCGGGAACTTGCGGAGTGAGCTGAAGGCATGTGTTCTTTTAACTTCCTACACCTTACCTACACATTATTTGACTATCCCTTTCCAGAGGGTTGGCAACGGTTCGATTCGGGGTCGGTTCAACCAAAACCATCACCGAACCACCAATTTTTTAGCAATACCATAACCGCATCATAACCACGTAAATCGATTCGGTTCTTTTTGATTCATATCTCGGTTCGGGTTATTAATAACCACGAAAATAAATTATTTTTTATAGGTCCAACCATCAAATTTAAATATTAAAAAAATAAATAAATAAATAAATAAATAAATAAATATATATATATATATATATTATGAAAGAAAAGTCTATGAAAACAAAAATATAATACTAAGCAAATGTAGCAAACAACATCTCAAATGAAAATGCAAACAATATCCCAATTCAATATCCACATAAAATATATACTCTCATTTCAATATCACAATAAAAAAAATGAAGACTATTCATAAAGTACATTTAATTGAGAAAGAATTTTGGTAGTCAAAGATCTTGCATTACTTGTTCATCTCTAAGTGATATCTACTAATGACATTTGAGCAGAATTCCCATATTTTTGTTTAAATTCAATAATTCTAAAAATTCTCTATAAAACCTCAAGAGATTTTTCATGCAATCTAGTGCGGGGTGAATTCAATAATTTCATAACTTGCTCGTATCCTTGTATTTTCATTGATTATTCTCAAACTTAAAGTGCATATCATTGAGTTCCTCCAGCAATAAAACTTAATATCTCTGGGCAGACTAAGTTTATTAAATTCATCTTTTTATGTGGAAAAAAAAATCACATTTCATCAAATACTCAAACTCGACAAAAACAAAAATAGATACAGAGATAACAACAGCAATTAGCAAACGAGAAGAAGAAGAAGAAAAATACTCTCCTATTTGCGGATGGCAATGCCGAGCAAGAAAGAATACGAAGTGGAGAAGAAAAAAATTTTGAGGACACATTGCAGAGACTCGAGTGAAGACGGCTGTGTGCTAATGTCTTGTTGAATTTGATTCTAATTTTCTTTGTGGTTGGGTTAGTACTTAGTAGGTAAGTGGTAACTACGTTAGGTTACTTAATGGGTTGGTAATGGGTCATAAATTTTGGGCTAAACAAATTATAATAGAAAGAATAATGGAAAGTCCAATTGTCCAATTTTTTTAATTTTTAATTTTATTTATTATTATTAATTTTTTAACGGGTAATCGGTTCGGGGCGGGGCACGGCGCAAATACCATCGGTTCGATTTTTTTCGCCCTATCCAGTTCGGTTAACCGTGATTTTCGATTTTGACAATTCGAATTGTCATCTTTTTCACCTGATAATTTCGTTATGTAGATAACCGTGGAAAAGAAGGAACTACAAGATGAAAATTCTGCTTTAGAGGCTCAAATCGGGAACTTGCGGAGTGAGCTGAAGGCATGTGTTTCTGAGTCCCGACTCGACCTGAACGTGGCCCCTCCTGAATGTGATCTCCAAGAACTCGCATCACATAGAAGTAAGGATCATCCCGGATTTCCTTTCATGCAACCTGGACAGCAGCAAATACAAACTGTAAATCAATTATATCTTGTTCCCATCTGCTCAAATATGCAAGTGCATGAGGAGCCCAGTACTGCTCAACTTGCATCAAAGCCAAGCAAACCACATGCTCGATATCCTGCTCCAGCCGACACATGGCCGTCCCAACTTCTCGAAAAGCAGCCGGAGTTAAGGAAGGAAATTCTGCAAAGTGATAGAAATAATAGCAAACCATAAGGCCTTAAAGATGTGATGCTGTGTAATTTTGACTAATATGAAGCTTAGTCTGCTAGAAACTGTGTCCTTCCTTCACCTCTTTCTTAGACAGATACTTACTCATATTGACGATGATGAGCAGTTAATTAGTTGAAATGCTGTCAATTAAGAAATTGTTTCTTGCATGATGTTACTCATGTGAGTTTTTTTAGACTTTCTCCAAGCATATTTACCAAAACCGTTAAAAAAAGGGGGAAAAAGTTAAAACTTAAATCATCTAAAAGATTGATGGAACTCAATGAGAGCTTGTTTGATTATTATTAAAAATTCACATAAATAAATTTACTTATTTTGTTAATAAAGTAATTGCACTTTTTGAGTATGTATGTTTGGATGAAGTTTAGTGAGTAGTTTTATTAGTTACTCTTTGAATATGTACTGGTCATTCATTTTATATTACAACAAATTTTCATTTTTATTATTCCATTTTTCTCGACAAAAACAAAAATAGATACAGAGATAACAACAGCAATTAGCAAACGAGAAGAAGAAGAAGAAAAATACCCTCCTATTTGGGGATGGCAATGCCGAGCAAGAAAGAATACGAAGTGGAGAAGAAAAAAATTTTGAGGACACATTGCAGAGACTCGAGTGAAGACGGCTGTGTGCTAATGTCTTGTTGAATTTGATTCTAATTTTCTTTGTGGTTGGGTTAGTACTTAGTAGGTAAGTGGTAACTACGTTAGGTTACTTAATGGGTTGGTAATGGGTCATAAATTTTGGGCTAAACAAATTATAATAGAAAGAATAATGGAAAGCCCAATTGTCCAATTTTTTTAATTTTTAATTTTATTTATTATTATTAATTTTTTAACGGGTAATCGGTTCGGGGCAGGGCACGGCGCAAATACCATCGGTTCGATTTTTTTCGCCCTATCCAGTTCGGTTAACCGTGATTTTCGATTTTGACAATTCGAATTGTCATCTTTTTCACCTGATAATTTCGTTATGTAGATAACTGTGGAAAAGAAGGAACTACAAGATGAAAATTCTGCTTTAGAGGCTCAAATCGGGAACTTGCGGAGTGAGCTGAAGGCATGTGTTTCTGAGTCCCGACTCGACCTGAACGTGGCCCCTCCTGAATGTGATCTCCAAGAACTCGCATCACATAGAAGTAAGGATCATCCCGGATTTCCTTTCATGCAACCTGGACAGCAGCAAATACAAACTGTAAATCAATTATATCTTGTTCCCATCTGCTCAAATATGCAAGTGCATGAGGAGCCCAGTACTGCTCAACTTGCATCAAAGCCAAGCAAACCACATGCTCGATATCCTGCTCCAGCCGACACATGGCCGTCCCAACTTCTCGAAAAGCAGCCGGAGTTAAGGAAGGAAATTCTGCAAAGTGATAGAAATAATAGCAAACCATAAGGCCTTAAAGATATGATGCTGTGTAATTTTGACTAATATGAAGCTTAGTCTGCTAGAAACTGTGTCCTTCCTTCACCTCTTTCTTAGACAGATACTTACTCATATTGACGATGATGAGCAGTTAACTAGTTGAAATGCTGTCAATTAAGAAATTGTTTCTTGCATGATGTTACTCATGTGAGTTTTTTTAGACTTTCTCCAAGCATATTTACCAAAACCGTTAAAAAAGGGGGGAAAAAGTTAAAACTTAAATCATCTAAAAGATTGATGGAACTCAATGAGAGCTTGTTTGATTATTATTAAAAATTCACATAAATAAATTTACTTATTTTGTTAATAAAGTAATTGCACTTTTTGAGTATGTATGTTTGGATGAAGTTTAGTGAGTAGTTTTATTAGTTACTCTTTGAATATGTACTGGTCATTCATTTTATATTACAACAAATTTTCATTTTTATTATTCCATTTTTTATATCATTATATTACTTAATGATTTAATTTTATTCATATACACTTTAATTTGATTATTAATTTTATTGACATTTATATTAAGAAAATTGCTGATTGTACAGCATTTCCCTCACAGCTTTTTTCAAGGCTTCCTCACAAATGTGAGGTCCATGATTATTTTAATTGTGAACCTCACCCGTTACATGTGTGTGTGCTGTGAATCTTGCTGTGAAAAATGTTGTAATCATAGCATGATTCTTATATTAAATTATAATCAAATAATAAACAACATTGTGATATTAAGTTTGACTAGCAGAAAGAGAGAGCGTTTGATCAAGTCTTTCTGCTTTTAGGAAATCGAAGCATATTTCAAGCTCACTTCACAGCCTTCTTTTCGTTAGCTAGGAAGAATTAGCTTTTTTTTTATCAAGGGCTTGAACGCCAACCATTCTTGATGCATGGAATACACTATTGTCAGATCATGAGCAACTCTAGCTTCCTTATCAGTGAATCAGAACATAGTGCATTAGTACTCTTTGATGCAACGAGCTCGAGACAATTTTTTTCTTTATCTAAATGCAACATTTGAGTTAATTTAATTTAATTTTTAACTCAGTAATTTTAGTAGAAATAGAATAGGTAACTAAATACTTTTAAGATAAACTAGTTGTTGAGAATTAAAAAGGAAATAAAGGGATTTTTTTTATTTTTTTTTTAGCTTAACATTTGGCGCAATAGATTGATGACTATCCCCCTGTTTGGTACCAATTAAAATTTAAACTTTAATCTAAATCAAAGTCGACAATTAATTTTAACAGCATATTTTAAGGGTCCGACAACTTTTGAACCACACATTTCATCAATTTCTATCAAAATCTAATAAATATCTAATAATTTCCACCAAATAGGGGCTAAATAAGATGATGTAAAAGTTGCACCATTTTGGTGTGTAAGTTTGAGATGGTGCAGCCCGGGCAGTCACTTTCTCTGCTCAAAATTTTGGAGTACAATCCCCTAAAAATTGTTTTCACGAACTTCATAGAAAATACTGTCATTCTTGATGCTTTTGCACAAGGTTAAGGACAGTCGAGAGTTGAACCAAAACAAGCTTCATAAAACTTCATATTAATCTACTTCCGGTCTACAAAATGTATTAAATGAGGTTATATAAGTGGTAAGATTGAATTCCAACATAATCTCGATAATAAAAATACAAAGACGATGAACCGGAAGCAAGGACAGACCCAGATTTATGGTTCAATGGGACGAGATAGAAAATAAGCTAAAATAAATTGTAAAAAAAAAAAATCTGAAAATTTAAATTTAAAAAAGTCCAATCGAAAGTTTTTGGAAATTGAGTGAGGACGGCCGACCCCACTCGACCCATAATGGGTCCACCCTTGATTGGAAGGGCCAGCATGGTAGAATTGGATTCACCATGCGTGAACCGACCTAGTTTCATCCTCTTGGTCCTTGAACTCTATGCAACTATTGTAACAACCCAAAATTTTGTATAAAATATACATGCATGGACGTCGTAATAATGTGTAGTACATTTCAAATTTTCTCTTATTAAACCAAGAAGTCATTTTATTTTAAAATTAAATGTCATGGAATAATCCTATTGCAGTGAACTTATATGCAAGCTTACTAAACCATTTTTTTTCTAGAAAATAAATTTATATTGGTCAAAATTGAGTACATCTACTCTGGGCAATCGAACATTCAAAGTAAAACATTACAAAGATCCGATGATCTAGTTATCCAAACCAAGCGACGGAATATAAATCAAAACATTACAAATTTGGCTAATCTGGAACAAGAAGTGTCAAACTATTGACGGTATTAAATCCTCTTGGACGACAATCTAAAGTGGTCACCTGACTTTCAACAAGCAGGCAACTGAAATATAGAATTATGATTGGTGTATAAGTAAGGGTTCAGCCATTGAACCGAAAACCCAAGCAGCCGGGCAGCAAAGCTGCTAGCTAACTCGATGAATTCAGTAGATTGGTTTCGTGTGGGACTAAATCATTTGAATTTTGGCTTAAAACGTTCAAAATATTTTGAATTTTGAATTTTATGCCAAAATAGGGAAATATATTACGGCAAAAGGAGTCAACAGTACAAAATACTGCAGGTAGCTTGTTTGGGAAACATTTTGAATTTTGGCCAGCCAAGTACAAACATTTGAAAAAAGATTTTCCACTTTGGGAAACCAAATACTGCACAAAGCAGAAAACATTGCTGAAATACTGTGTGGTCAATTTGACTAATTCAAATTTTCAAAAGAAACTTGAATAAATTGCCCAAACAAGTAATAAACAGCTTGGCCAAAACTTGGGAACTCCACCAAATAGGGGCTAAATAAGATGATGTAAAAGTTGCACCATTTTGGTGTGTAAGTTTGAGATGGTGCAGCCCGTGCAGTCACTTTCTCTGCTCAAAATTTTGGAGTACAATCCCCTAAAAATTGTTTTCACGAACTTCATAGAAAATACTGTCATTCTTGTTGCTTTTGCACAAGGTGAAGGACAGTCGAGAGTTGAACCAAAACAAGCTACATAAAACTCCATATTAATATACTTCCGGTCTGCAAAATGTATTAAATGAGGTTATATAAGTGGTAAGATTGAATTCTAACATAACCTCGATAATAAAAATACAAAGACGATGAACCGGAAGCAAGGACGGACCCAGATTTATGGTTCAATGGGACGAAATAGAAAATAAGCTAAAAAAAATTGTGAAAAAAAAATCTGAAAATTTAAATTTAAAAAAGCCTAATCGAAAGTTTTTGGACCCGCTCGACCCATAATGGGTCCACCCTTGATTGGAAGAGCCAGCATGGTAGAATTGGATTCACTATGCGTGAACCGACCTAGTTTCATCCTCTTGGTCCTTGAACTCTATGCAACTATTGTAACAACCCAAAATTTTGTATAAAATATACATGCATGGACGTCGTAATCCATGTAAATCAAGTCGCTACACCCAACGAACAAGAAAGCATTGAATCTCTCTATCATTGGTCAATACAATCTGATCATCTAAAATAACGTCAATCTTATCTATATGTGCTGTGATAGACGGTATTGAAGTATATATAGCAAAAGCATTTTTTTTTCTAGAAAATAAATTTATATTGGTCAAAATTGAGTACATCTACTTTGGGCAATCGAACATTCAAAGTAAAACATTACAGAGATCCGATGATCTAGTTATCCAAACCAAGCGATGGAATATAAATCAAAACATTACAAATTTGGCTAATCTGGAACAAAAAGTGTCAAACTATTGACGGTATTAAATCCTCTTAGACGACAATCTAAAGTGGTCACCTGACTTTCAACAAGCAGGCAGCTGAAATATAGAATTATGATTGGTGTACAAGTAAGGGTTCAGCCATTGAACCGAAAACCCAAGCAGCCGGGCAGCAAAGCTGCTAGCTAACTAGATGAATTCAGTAGATTGGTTTCGTGTGGGACTAAATCATTTGAATTTTGGCTTAAAACGTTCAAAAAATTTTGAATTTTGAATTTTATGCCAAAATAGGGAAATATATTACGGCAAAAGGAGTCAACAGTACAAAATACTGCAGGTAGCTTGTTTGGGAAACATTTTGAATTTTGGCCAGCCAAGTACAAACATTTGAAAAAAGATTTTCCACTTTGGGAAACCAAATACTGCACAAAGCAGAAAACATTGCTGAAATACTGTGTGGTCAATTTGACTAATTCAAATTTTCAAAAGAAACTTGAATAAATTGCCCAAACAAGTAATAAACAGCTTGGCCAAAACTTGGGAAATCAAAACTGATGCAAGATAAAAATAAGAAAACAACAAGAAAGGGGAAGAAACCAAAGAGAATGGGGGGAGAAACCTAAGAAACAGCAGCAATTCAAGGGAAGAGGGAAAGGGAGAGGAAAGAGACTCCACAATCAATTTCAATTTTTCATAATCATCAAATTGTTTCAATTACATGTACAACTAGATTTAAATAATGAAAACAAAAACCCTAAAGATAAGAGCTTGGGCCAAACCCACTAGACCAGCCCAATGAAATAAAAAAAAAATCAATAAATAAAAAATGAAATAAGTAAAATAATTGAGCTGATATCCGCATCAACTCTCCCGAGATGAAAAAAACTCGACCCCATCGAGTGAATAGATCTACCACAGGGGACGATCTTTCTAACGAACCAAATATCGAAACTCAACAAATAATGACAACGCCATTTGCAAATTATCCCCAAGCATAAGATCTGACCAAGATGAACTGGGCAAAGGAAAATCTTACTGACTTCTATAAAGTTTCAACAAGTCTGGATCATGCTATTGAACTCTCTTTCTGGGGATTCATGTAAATCAAGTCGCTACACCCAACGAACAAGAAAGCATTGAATCTCTCTATCATTGATCAATACAATCTGATCATCTAAAATAACGTCAATCTTATCTATATGTGCTGTGATAGACGGTATTGAAGTAGATATAGCAAAAGATTCAATGTAGGAATTCCCATGTGGAGGTGAAAAATGATCATTAGAGATTTAAAATAGCCTTTGTAAACAACGAAGTCCTTAACAATTAAAATAAAGTGGTGGCCAAAATGTGATAAAAGATCAATGTCACATATATTTGAACCAACATGTTTTAAAATTTCAAAAGGATCAGCACTATAAGCTTGTAATATAACATAATCCCCAAAATTAAATTCAAAATTTCGCTTATGCCAATCAGGTTGAAGTTTATATAATGCTTCAAGTTGTTTATTGATTTCAATAAGCAAGTCATGAAGATGATGTACAAATGCTTCAACTGATATAGACACATTAGCATGTGGGGACATGGGAATAAGGTCTAAAGTTTTCCTAAGTTTATAACCATGAATAACTTCAAAGAGACTCGTACTTATAGATCGATTCACAAAATTGTTATATGTAATTTGCACTGTTTGGATGATCAAATCCCAATTCTCAAGATTTTCTGTGAAAAGGGCATGATTACACAAATCATCAGTACCTTTAAGTTGGATAAGAGTATAACACACAACAATTGAGTGAGAGGTATCGAGAACAAAGGGTACAATACCTAGATTCACAGGAAAAGTCCGAATACTATCTAAGGGGGTGTTCTCACTATTATCATCAAATTCTTCAAGTTTAGGCTCAAAGAGTTGATCTTCTAATTGATCATCTCTTATATTCTTTTGTTCTTCAATGACTAAAGCTCGGTTAGGACATTCATAAGAGATGTGATCAAAGTCTTTACACTTGAAACATTGCAAGTGAGAAAAAGTTCTTGGAATATCAGAAATTTTACCTTTATTTTCCAGTACAGGAGGAACATTAAATGGAAAAGGTCTATTGATGACTTACAAGGAGGCAGTGATGTTGCTATCGACATGCGTCCGACACGTGTCGGACATGGACACACTACCCTAGTTAGAGTGTCAACATGATAAGATTTAGTTACTCTATTGTTAAAACATGTAAAAAATTTCGAAGTTTTACAACTATACCTTGCTTCTTCATTCTTCTTGCATAAGTGAGTTTTTTGGGTGGTCTTGGAGAGCTATCAACATGCAACTTGTCTCGTCTAACTTTTGAGTCTATGATCTCATTGAACATATTCATCACTCACTAGATACAACCTTAGAAAGTAAGCGAACAATCCCATTTAGGTAATCAAATTCCATCATGGGACAGACGATTTCTCCATTGTGAGCCTTGTGATCATTGCCCTTGGACACACCCCTACTCGTGTCATGAGCAAAACGATTCATTGAAGCTTGACACCAGTCTCATCAACCGCTTTCTCCTCCTAATCCGCCTGTTCTATGGCAACAGAGGCAGATGCATCAAGCTAGCCATTATAGAGCCAATATCAATTATCCTAAATTATTGGGTGGGTAACTCAATCCCTCAATTTTGGCTTCTCAATAAATAATGCAGGTGATAGAATTTGGGCTCTTGAAAACATCACGCTCTTAGATGAAAAATAATGACTGCAACTTCATATATTGACTATAAGGTTTAGCAACACAAACAATGCAAAGTTACTGCTTCTCCAAGCACATTCAGACATTAATACAAAAACCTTGCATGCACAAATTTAGTGCAAATACAAACTAAGCAAAACCCAGAATCTCCCTTATAATCACCAAAACTTACAAACAATATCCCCAAAATCTGCAGTAAATTATTAAGATCATGTTAAAACTTAATGATTGAATATGAGAGGATAGGAAACCCACCAATGAAAAATAATTTATTTTATTTTATTTTATTTCAGAATTTTGAAGACAGGGAACACAATATTTGAGGCTGTCGGTGACCATGGATGAGATAGGAGGCAACTTTGAGGAGCCGATTTTGCAAAAGAGGAGAAAGCATTGACCTAGAAGAACACTGCTTATGCATGCATTTTGGATCGTATATAATATCTATTGCCTCAAACTGAGAGTGAACGAAGACATCTTACCGCTGACAAGCTCAATACCCCATTGAAATAAAATGTCAGTGAAGAACTTCATGTTTCCTCCAATATCTTTGCTCCAGAAAGTACTGTCAAAAAGTTAAGAAAGTGACTGCATAATCTAAACCTTGAATCAGTTGCTAAAAGTTACAGTTTTTAGGTGTGTAAACGCTGATATCCTGGCAATGAATAATGAACACATTGATGATACTATTACATTTTGATCACTTGTACTCTTCTCTGCCATTCATCAAAAGTTATGATCACACGACACAAAAGCTAATGCAACTAAAGAAAGATTTTATGAGTATGGCTTCATATTTTTAACAGATTAATTGGATTTAGTTACACTGATTAATAAGAACACTAGCAACCATTTCGCTTGTTAGAAAATGGGGCTTCTATTTCTTTCAATTTGACCTAGTTCGAAAATATATTGACCAATAAAAAGAACCAGTGAGCGTCCCTCTTATAAAATATCCATCCAGACACTCCTTGAATCTCACAAAAACAGTAGAAGGATTTTGTTCACTTAGCCCTTGTTTGACAAAGCCTTTTGAGATTATTGGCTGGTGAGTCCCTTGAAATGTACGATTAAAAATGAAGTTTGACTAGCTTAAAATCTCATTAAAAAAAGGGGCTTAGTGACAACAAGATTGGCAAGTCCTAAATTTCTGTTGTTTTTTTATGCCTCCAATAAGGAAATCAAATATTTCTGTTCCATCTCCTCATAAATTACTATTTCTTTTTTCTATTCACCATATTATTCCTCTCTCCGCCATCATCACCACAAAAAATATGATGCCATCAAGGCAAAAAATATGACGCCATCAAGGATCATATATTACAGTAAGAATTACGTCTAGTGAGATGTCTGTCAATGACATAACAAGCTCGTCTGCCCTGGCCTTCCCCCATCCCTTTCTCCTTCAGGGACCTATTCCCATTTGGTTGCATTTACAGATGTCACTGGAACTCTACAAAAGACCATCACCATACATTTGAAAGGGGCTTCCATTTAATGAATTTCAGTACTCCAAATTATATTTAAGGTTAAACAATCTAGCATTTATTATACCAGATATAAGAGATTTTTTTTTATTTTTTTTATTTTTTATTTTTAAATGTCTCAGGTGCATTCAGCCAATGCCTTGGGATTGCAGAACTCCTGACCATCAATCAATGTCTTTGCCATCGTACCAAGAATCCAAAATTTTATCCTCTTTTCATATGTAGGATAAAGGGCATTTTACTGGATCATCATCATCCAAACCCTGGTTTTCTTATTATCCCAAATATCCAGAACGACCGAAATGGAATTCCAAAACATTAATAATGTTGTGAAGACAAATCCAAAAACCACAAGGCTTTTTATTAACTTAAAAGTTACTTACCTAATAATAGTCCACAATCATAGGATAACAAGTCTAGCATTCCAAATGTCCAACTACCCAAAACAAAATAAGGAATTTATTGGGGGGAAAAAAAAGAATATTTCCATGAAAATGCAAAGAAAAGAATGCCCATGACTCTGATATAGAAATATCCAAGTGACTTACGATCAAGGATTTTGAGCTTTTAAATTAACCATCACTGCATTCAACAGTTTAGCCTGTTGCTGATAACCAACAGCCTTCTGTCAGCTTCTCCTATTTTCTTATTAGAATCTGGAGGCGAATCTGCACAAAAGTTGTCCAGAGTCAGACATGTTGATTCCCTTCATGCTATTTCAGCATCAAACTGCACATTTTAAGCAGGAAAAATGTATGTAAAGCAGATTCCTGATAATCAATATGAATTTATCCATCATCCTATGAGTTTAGCAGTCAATAGAAACCATAATCTTTCCACGTGAAATGCACTAAAAAGGATCTTTATAAAGAATCAATTGATTCACTCTTGAAAGCAAAAAGTCATGAAGTGTGACCTCTCATAAAATGAAATAGTATCAACTACTCCTCCATTTTGATAATTAACATTTATATCTAAAATTCAATTAAGGAGAATTGTAGGATAAGTGGCAATTAACTTAAACAAATAGCAGTTATCTGCTATCCAAGAGACTCATAGGGAAACAATGAAAAGAGGGATTTGAAACATATATTTCAAAAGGCTGTGTTGCAAATTACTCATCCATAGCAAGCTTTCAGAAGTCCATAAAAGGTAAGATCAGAATTCAACGGAAGTTGCAAAATTTCATTAAAACCCACTGGGCTCAATCCACATGCTAGATCCACATCAAGGGGTAAATCCACATGGATAGGGAGTGGGGCTGGCAGCTTTAATTTCCCAATGTTTTATTAGCCCATGTTTGGTTTTGATTAAAATTTTATTTTAATTTAAGTCAAAGTCAAACAATCATTATTAACCACATCTTTCATAGGTCCCACAACTTTTCAATCACACATTTCAAAACCATTTCTCACAATCTACTTAAAAATATAATTTTAATCCCCGCCAAACATCCTCTTAGACTATATGTGCTACAGAGAAAATGATGGATTTCTCCCTCCACTTAGCCCAGCCCTATTACATCCACAAGAAAGTATCATAGTTGCCCGTACATATTGAACCAAAAGAAAAAGTAAGGAGTATATACCATGACATTAGCAGTTACTCCTCATCGAAGCGTCAATGATTCTATGTCCACCATTATCATAACAGAAGCTTTCATGTTCACATACTTTCCTTCCACTTAAATTCACGAACCAATAGAGTTATCAATTTTAGAACTACCTAGATCTTTACTTAGAATCTTTTTCCTTGATAGCTTCTTATCTCTGATGGCTTCATACAAGAGTTCATAAGCATAATAAGTTACATGACTCTTCTTCAACAAATCTTCAACAAGTATTTTGGGTGCTGCCACTGCCCTTTTATCTGCTTCAAAAATTGAGTTCACAACATCAGGAACAATACCCTTCTGTACCATAAGGTGTATGATATAAACTGCCTCATGCATTCTACGCTTCATACAAAGGCAATTTAGTACTCGTCCAAAAGTTGTTAGTGACGGAAATAACTCATTCTTGATGCTGTCAAGGAGAAACCCGTACCCAGAATCAACATTTCCTACTTTACAAAAACCATCTATCATGCAACGGTAAGTGTAATTATCAGGTGGGCAGCCATTGTTGCTCATTTCATGAAATAGCTTTTCTGCCATGTCTGTATCTAACCTCTCACAAAATGCACTGACCATGATATTGTATGTTGCAATTATATGAGGTAATTTGTATTGTTTTTCCATCCTTCTGAACAGCTTAAAAGCTCCTTCCAAATCCCCATTTTCACAAAAACCATTGATTAATGTACCAAAACTTACAACATCAGGACTCATACCATTTTTCTGGATTTCTTCAAGCAATTCCACGGCCATAACTAATTTTCTAGCTCTGCACAAGCTCTCTATGAGTATGTTATACGTAATTATATTTGGAACACAACCCTTCTCCAACATCACTTTGAAGGTTTTCATAACATCATCAGACTTTGAAGTCTTGCAGAGTCCATTTAATAATGTGTTATATGTAATGATATCTGGAGTAACACCATGCTCCCACATGGTATTGACAGTACCAAGTGCATCGTCTATCTTTAACTGCTTGCAGTAGCCATCAATCAGAGTATTGAAGGTGAATATGTCAGGAAGAAACCCTTTTGTAATTGCATCGTTAATTAGATTGCGTGCATCAGCAACACAACCCCTCTTGCACAAGCCATTTATAACTAAATTGTAGGTCCATATATTTGGGCTGCAACCATTTTTCTGCATCTCGTTAATCAGCTGCAAGGCTTCAAGAATGAGTCCCTGCCGAGACAACCCCTGAATTAATGCATTGTAGATAATTAAACTAGGCTTTATACCTTTACCAATGGCTTCTTTAAATACGTCCATTGCCCTGTCTATGTCATCATTGTTACACAATCCACGCAATAGGGAGCAGTAAGTGAACTCATCGGGCTCAAAACCTCTGAAAACTGCATCCTTGAGAATTTTGTCAGCATTTTGTACCATATTATGTTTGCAGTATCCATCAATGATTGTGTTGTAGGTAAAAGTATCTGGCTCCAAACCACCATTAACCATTTTATGCATGTAGGACTCAGCTTCCTTGACTTTTGAGCTCTTGCAAAAACCAGATATGAGTATGTTATAAGTGACAGCATCAGGAGTTAGACCTTCTCTTGTCACGCTGTCCAACATCCTAGCAGCCTCATCAAGTAGGCCTTTCTTACAAAGGCCTTGAATGAAGATATTAAATGTAAACAAATTCGGGGATACACCCCTTTTAAAAACCTTATCAAGTAATCTTTCGCTCTCCTGGACATGTCCCTTCTTAGAAAGCATATGTAAAAGCTTATTAAATGTAGCAACATTTGGAATAATTCCAAGCCCGAGCATCCGATCAAACAATACAGAAGCCTCTCTTTGATAGTCGCTTTCATAAAATCCACCAACTACTGTACAGTAAGCAACCGCATTAAATTCGCACCCCTGAACAGGCATGTTATTGAGAAGCCTTAAAGCAGCTTCAGGTCTATTTGTTTTACAGAACGACTTTATCCTTATGGTAAATGTATATACATCAGGAGAAATCCCTTTATCTCTCATTCTCATATAAATTTTGTGGGCCTGATTGAAATACCCATTTTCAACTAATATATTCATGATTGTATTATACGAAAAAACTGTTGGCTCACAATCATAAAAATCCATCCTTTCAAACACATTAACTGCCTCTTGAATTTTCTGTTTCTTCCCATAACTTCTCATTACACTAATGTACACTCCTTCTAACAAGCTGTTATCGATATTTTCCCTCATCTCTGCCACAACATTTTCCATGGCTTCAAACTCTTCATGATTACTAAGCTTTTCAATCATTGATTTGTAAGTTGAAATAGTATGCTTAAACCCATCTTCCTTTCTAACAGAATTAAATATTTCCAGAGCCCTCAATGGGTCTTTTTGATATTTCAAAACTGACGCTACGTGTTTAGGAAGGACAGCAGGACCCATTCCAGAAAACAGCAATTCTAATCGATATTTCCAGCAAAACCCATCAAACCCATTTGAATAATAAGCCCAAAAATACAGTCATTACGATCAAAATTTTCACGAAAACCATTTCTTTTCTTGTTATGCTATTTTAACATTACTTTCACTTGCTTCCGTGACTAAACATTCTTGCACCAGAGTCCAGAGAACTTTAGTAATACAAAAGTTGTGTATAGACTGACAGAAATACCTCAACTGGTGAGTTCGTCAATTTCTGCAGAGCTGCTTCGTTGATATAATTAGTATAAGAGGAAAATTGCTGAAAAACTAGACTTTTCAATCAAGGAATTGCAGAGACGAGCCTTCGACATCAAATATTATTTTAAAGAAATCATAAGTATTTTAAAATAAAATTAATATTTTTTAGGATTTATTACACCGTACGTCCCTAATGTTTCCATTTTTCTCAATTTCATCCATTTAATTTTTTAAAGATGTTTCATTCCCATCCTCATTAATTCACACAGATAAACCCTACTTACAACTTTCATCCAAATCCGTATTATGACTCGATTTGATTCTCATTTTTATCAATACATTTTTCTCTCCCTTCTTTTTAACTTCACATTCTTCATTGATGCCCTTATTTGAACCACATTATATTCTTAAGAACGCATTTTTTAATAGTATATTGATAGAAAATATATGGTTAAAAAATAAAGAAAAATTTTGAATTTGAGTGTAACATTATTTTATTGAAAAATGTGTGATTAAAATGATATCAAATCACTATTTAAAAAAAAAAAAATATATTGAAAAAAAATGTGGCATGGCCATATATATATAGATGTGTGTGTGTGTGTGTTCAAAAAAGAGCTTTATTTAATTCTTTGAACATTGGATAAAAGTGCAATCACTTAACATTCTGACGATTAGTTCTCAAATGATCTTGTCTCTGTTTTTGCTTTCCGCTTATTACCTGCTCTTTGTCCTGTTCCAGAAACAAGTAAACTAAAACTAAACAATTTTCTTAATGCTACAATTTTACCTCATACCCAGACTGCTCGGGTTGGTCGATGATCTCTGCAAACTCAGAAAATGCACCCACACACAAACACAGCCAACCAAACAAACACTGGGTAAAATAGTTAAAATATTGAAATGGAATGCTCAGCTAGAGAGAGAAGATTTTACTCGGAGATCGGAATCCATGTCCGTAGGCACGTATCTCCTTGAAGAGTGTGCGTTTCAGTGTGTGTAGGGAGTGAAGGGAGATTGATTATGTAGATCTGAAAATGAATGTCGGGGAAATTTGAAATTAATTTTTATTTTTTACAAATATTTAAATAGGTTTTAAAATTACAAATATTTTTATAATCTCGCTTCAAACATGTTTCACAGATCCGTTCTTGTTGAGGTCATTAGCAAGTCTAAAACATTAATTTTATTAGTTGCTAATATTTTTTTATTGAGTAATATTATTTGCAGTCGCTCACTGTCATAATTGTTTTATAATATATATGTGACGGTTAGTGATTTGATATATTAATATGATAATTGCATCAAATCTCTAACTGACATTTATATGTCACGTAAGACGACTGCGATAATGAACCACTGTAAAAAGTATTATTCATTTTTATTTTATAGAAATGTTTTTTTCTCGATTTTGGAAAAGCCCACCAAACAAGTCTCTTAATTTTCATTTTCAACTTTTTTAAAGTGTTCAAGCGGGCCCCTTTAGCGATGCGGGCTCCAAGTTTCCAACTGCTGATTTCCCTTTTTCTTTCAATATTGGCCCGGTTGAAAAGGGGTGCATGATTACTCTAAATAATGCTTTTGCCTTCGATAAGCAACGCTTTTAGTTTTTCCTTTTGCACTGTAGCGTTTTTGTTTGGAGTCAAGGATAAAATGAATGTCCAGAAAAAGTACATACTGATTTAGCAAGGTTAGTATTTTTCTTGAGGAATTTAAGCTCAGTACCCAAAATTAAGAAAATAAATTAATATTTTTAATTATCATTAGTTTATGATTCAAAGTAAATTGTAAAGTGATTGTTACTTTTTATTTTAAAAGTGGCATGACATGTCACTTTTTTTTTGAAATGCGACAAATCTTGCGATTTCTGCAGAGCTGCTTCGTTGATATAATTAGTATAAGAGGAAAATTGCTGAAAAACTAGACTTTTCAATCAAGGAATTGCAGAGACGAGCCTTCGACATCAAATATTATTTTAAAGAAATCATAAGTATTTTAAAATAAAATTAATATTTTTTAGGATTTATTACACCGTACGTCCCTAATGTTTCCATTTTTCTCAATTTCATCCATTTAATTTTTTAAAGATGTTTCATTCCCATCCTCATTAATTCACACAGATAAACCCTACTTACAACTTTCATCCAAATCCAATGAGGCTCAAACACTCTCTATATTAGACATGTACCTTCCATGCAATTTTCTGCCAAAGGGCAATTTCATTAAACTAATTAAAAAACAATTTTGCATACTATCTAGGTATTACTTTCATCCTAATAACGGTAATTAGTTAGCTAGGTCATTTATTGATTTGTACGATTGTCAATTTTATTCTTCTAACTATTAAAATATTTTATATGATTAAAACATCAAAATGTTACATTTCAAGTAGTTATTCTTGATATCCAATGGATTATGAATCGAGGGTTTCTTGATAAGCACCAAATCAATTATGTTTAGGGAACCAAATGTCGTAGATAGAATATTTAGGACTCTGTCATAACAAGACTCAAAGGTTGGAAATTCAGCTGGTTACTAACTTAATGTTTGTTTGGTATGGATTTTGATAATTAATTTTTTGACGATTAGAAATAAAGTAGTTATTGTAATTGTAAAAAAAAAATTCAAAAATAACGATTAAAATAATGGATAAAAAAATATATTTTAATAGGCTTAAAATTTGTACCAAACTTAAAATTAACTTTCCCAACCCCCTTTGATTCCCCCAACCATCGCCCCCCGCCCCCCTCGCTCTGACCAATTATGTTTAGTATAAACTATTATATAAACGAGGGTTTTAGAGAGGGTTTAACAAATCAGAACCAACAGAAAATTCTGAAAATGGGTTTGGACAAAGGGAAGAAGCAGAAATTGGTAGAAGCGAACGAAGAAAAGAATGGGACGGAGCTCATTGATGGAGAGCTCGTTCTTTCCGTTGAAAAGCTTCAAGAAGTACAAGATGAGCTTGAAAAGGTTTTTTTTTTTTTTTTTTTTTTTTTTTTTTTTAAATACGAAAAAACTGTTGGCTCACAATCATAAAAATCCATCCTTTCAAACACATTAACTGCCTCTTGAATTTTCTGTTTCTTCCCATAACTTCTCATTACACTAATGTACACTCCTTCTAACAAGCTGTTATCGATATTTTCCCTCATCTCTGCCACAACATTTTCCATGGCTTCAAACTCTTCATGATTACTAAGCTTTTCAATCATTGATTTGTAAGTTGAAATAGTATGCTTAAACCCATCTTCCTTTCTAACAGAATTAAATATTTCCAGAGCCCTCAATGGGTCTTTTTGATATTTCAAAACTGACGCTACGTGTTTAGGAAGGACAGCAGGACCCATTCCAGAAAACAGCAATTCTAATCGATATTTCCAGCAAAACCCATCAAACCCATTTGAATAATAAGCCCAAAAATACAGTCATTACGATCAAAATTTTCACGAAAACCATTTCTTTTCTTGTTATGCTATTTTAACATTACTTTCACTTGCTTCCGTGACTAAACATTCTTGCACCAGAGTCCAGAGAACTTTAGTAATACAAAAGTTGTGTATAGACTGACAGAAATACCTCAACTGGTGAGTTCGTCAATTTCTGCAGAGCTGCTTCGTTGATATAATTAGTATAAGAGGAAAATTGCTGAAAAACTAGACTTTTCAATCAAGGAATTGCAGAGACGAGCCTTCGACATCAAATATTATTTTAAAGAAATCATAAGTATTTTAAAATAAAATTAATATTTTTTAGGATTTATTACACCGTACGTCCCTAATGTTTCCATTTTTCTCAATTTCATCCATTTAATTTTTTAAAGATGTTTCATTCCCATCCTCATTAATTCACACAGATAAACCCTACTTACAACTTTCATCCAAATCTGTCATTATGGCTCGATTTGATTCTCATTTTTATCAATACATTTTTCTCTCCTTTCTTTTTAATTATACATTCTTCAATAAAGTCCTTATTTGAACCACCTTATATTTTTAAAAATATATTTTTGAATAGTATATTGATAGGAAATGTATGGTTAAAAATTAAAGAAAAGTTTTGGATTTACGTGTAACATTATTTTATTGAAAAATGTGTGGTTAAAATGATGTCAAATCACTATTTAAGAATTTTTTTTTTTTTGAAAAAAATGTGGCTCAAACACATCCAAAATAATTTACACGTAGATCAAAAAAAAATTTTATTTTTCATCCACTTATTCTCAATCAATCTACTATTTCAAAGTTCATTTTTTCTATAAAAATGGGGCTCAAACACCCTCTATATTAGACACGTACCTTCCATGCAACTTTCTGTCAAAGGGCAATTTCATTAAACTACTAAAAAACAATTTTGCATGCTATCTAGGTATTGCATTCATCCTAATAACGGTAATTAGTTACCTAGGTCATTTATTGATTTGTATGATTGTCAATTTTATTCGTCTAACTATTAAAATATTTTATATGATTAAAACATCAAAATGTTACATTTCAAGTAGTGATTCTTGATATCCCACGGATGATGAATCAAGGGTTTCTTGATAAGCACCAAATCAATTACGTTTAGGGAACCAAATGTCGTAGATAGAATATTTAGGACTCCGTCATAACGAGACTCAAAGGTTGGAAATCCAGCTGGTTACTAATTTAGTGTTTGTTTGGTATGAATTTTGATAATTAATTTTTTGACGATTAGAGATAAAGTGGTTATTGTAATTGTAAAAAAAGAATTCAAAAATGATGATTAAAATAATGAAATAATGGATAAAAAAAATATATTTTAATAGACTTAAAATTTGTACCAAACTTAAAATTAACTTTCCCAACCCCCTTTGATTCCCCCAACCATCGCCCCCCGCCCCCCTCGCTCTGACCAATTATGTTTAGTATAAACTATTATATAAACGAGGGTTTTAGAGAGGGTTTAACAAATCAGAACCAACAGAAAATTCTGAAAATGGGTTTGGACAAAGGGAAGAAGCAGAAATTGGTAGAAGCGAACGAAGAAAAGAATGGGACGGAGCTCATTGATGGAGAGCTCGTTCTTTCCGTTGAAAAGCTTCAAGAAATACAAGATGAGCTTGAAAAGGTTTTTTTTTTTTTTTTTTTTTTTTTTTTTTTTTTTTGTTGGATTCTAAAGAGACTCCAGATTTATTTTGATTTTTTTTTCTGCAAGAAACTATCAGGAGACAGCTTGTTAGTGTTCTTTTATTATTTTTTTGTTCTTTGTTGATCTTTGATTATTCTGTGAGGGCATGTTATTGATATTAACTCAATTTTATTTGCAAAGCAAAGACCCAAATTTTCTAAAAATGAACTCGTAATAGAGGATTTGTTGGCTTCTTTGGAGAGTGAATGTTAGAATATATCAAATTATTGTTGACGAATATTGTTTTGAAAATATATTTACTATTCATGAGTATATTTCTATGGGGCGACATTAATTTCATTTTCCTCTGTATTTAGTTCCTACATTATTTAGACTTTCTAAAGAATAAAGAAGTATATTTTCACTTTTCGTCAAAACCAAGCAAAAACACTTAGGGTGCTTTTGATTGCAAACAAGGAATTTGCATAGAAAGAAAATAAATTCTATGCAATTCAATTGCTTCATAGAATTCATTTGCGTGAAAATTGTCAATTAAATGTATTTGATTGATTTAATTTTTAACCTAAAAAATATTATACTTGTCCATTTTTTATAGGTGGGTAGATGAGAGGGAGAAAGAAAGAGTGAATTCCCTAGAAAATAAAATCTTATTCTCTCTCAAGAAAATATTTTCCTTGATTTTGAGAAAAATATGATCACATGAACAAAAATAGGAAAATGTTTTCCATGGAAAAAATGTCAATCAAACAGCACAAAAGTAGAAATTTGGATGGAAAAAACACATTTTCCATGAAAAATATTAGCAATCAAATATACCCTTATATCTTCTTATTTGGTTTTTTTTTTGGGGGGTCTGGTAAAATTGGGAGAAATACAATTGAAAGTGGTAAAAAAGTGAATTGTCTTAACAAGAAACGTAAAATAAAAATTCAGAGATTTCATAATATTATACTGGGTTTATTTTCTTTATGTTTGCAGATCAATGAAGAAGCAAGCGAAAAGGTTTTGGAAGTAGAACAAAAGTACAATGAGATACGCAAGCCTGTCTATGACAAGAGAAGCGATGTCATAAAATCCATTCCTGACTTCTGGTTGACTGCAGTTAGTGTTTCATTACCACTAGCTTTCTTAATAGAAATGTGTACTTATACTCACACCCCCCACACACCAACAATGGAAAAGAAGAAAGAAAAATAACATGTACTCTCTTCCTTGCAGTTTTTAAGTCATCCTGCCTTTAGTGAACTTTTGACCGAGGAAGACCAAAAGGTTTCATCCATTTCCTTCATTTTATCTAAAATTAAGTATATGTTGTTATAGTTTTAGTATGATCTTCTCTTTGTTACCGTAACAAATTCGCAGTCATTATAATTTGCAGCTACTCTTTAACTTCCTCAATAGTTGGTTATTACTAAATCTGAGATTTTTTGTCTGTTCACCGACACAGTTAATATATTCCCTTTTTCTCATGTTAGATTTTCAGGTACTTAAGTTCCCTCGAAGTGGAAGACTCCAAAGATGTGAAATCGGGTTACACTATTACATTTGTGAGTTTGTCTTTTCTGCCGTATGTGGACATTTATTGATGTAGAAATTTTAATACTATTTTTATCTTTCATAATCTCTTTAAGAAAAGTTCATGTCTCTTGTTTTTTTCTCCAGAACTTCAATCCCAATCCATATTTTGAAGATACAAAGCTAACAAAAATCTTTACTTTCCTCGAAGAAGGAACAACAAAAATCACTGCCACATCAATAAAATGGAAAGCAGGAATGGTAAGTTTTCATCTCATCGTACCTTGAGCAATGACTTTTCTGTGTCTTGAGATTTAAAGTAATTGTGGATTTCTGGATTGTGAAGGGCATTTCTAATACTGTGGCTGAAGAGAAGAAAGGGAACAAGCGATCTCATTCTGAGGAAAGGTTGGTTCATTTATCTCTCCAGGTTTTCTATATGCTATAATTGTGCTTTGTTGAATACTGTTTTACCATGTCCAGAGGCCTAATATCTTTGCTAACAGATATTGTAATTATAAAACTACTTTGAGCACACTGTCTAGGCATTATAGATTTTACTGACTGAGTAAACAGGACACTAAATAGCTCGTAAGTATGGGGTAGGACCTGCAAGCTAAACCATAGAAGTTTTATGTTTCACAGAGTCAGGGTTGTGGATCTAAGGTTAACATATGAATTCTCTAAATTTAGGATCATTGGTTTTGGTGAAGAAGGTTTTTAAATTTTGGATATGGGTACAGTCTGACCTCACTAAATTAATTCCTCAATGATTAATAACCTAGTGATTAATAACCTTGGACCTTTAATAAAATTTCATAATAGGCATAATTTAATATTTCTGTTATCTAACAATTAATACAAATATCAAATAATAATAATTAGTAGTAGAATCACGTTCCTTAGATAACCATCAGTGCAGAGTAGCATGTTTCTTCCCTGATCTTAGGGTACCTTATGAGCTACAAACATGGGCGGGATTTGAAAGGCCAAGAAAAGAAATATATGAGTGAATGATACCTAATTTATCTTTGTTAGACAAAGAGGATCATCCTCCATATCTTCTTCAACTTCCTCTTTATGATGTTCTTGTGATGATAAATTGCTATGAGATCTTTATCCTGCATTTCCTCATGGGCAATTTGTTGCCCCTTCTTTAGATTTAAGAGGGCATTAATAGACATTGGTTGATGAATTGGAAGTTGATGGATGACATTTAAAAGTTCTTGTTCTATTGCTTGTTCCTGTGCACTCTTCAATTTCTTGATTTTCCTCTTCAAAGTGACCTGTGTGCTTAAAGCAGCAATTGGCTATTGTTGTGCTGGAAATGCGGCTCCATGTTGCTTTAGCCCATTTCCTGGCTTTTAATTAATCGACCTTGTAAATGTCTGCTTTTGTTGTTCATCTCTATCGACATTGATATGGCCTCTTAAACACTGCCATAATTCCAGCATCATTGTTTGAATTTTAGTTGTGTTCGGAGGAAGAAGTTAAACCTCCACATAAGTATGAGGTACATCCTTCGATACATATGTTGGAGTATTCTCCAGCAAAATTAAAACTTTATGGTTAGCATCTTGCATTTCTTGATCCATCTTTTGAAACCATTCGTCATCCAAGCTTTTGCATTGCTGTGATAGTAGAACCCAGCTGCTTCCCAGTTTTTCTATTAAAGCACACTGCTTTTGTGCATGACCAATGATAAACAGTTCCATTCTGTCAGAGCCATCTGCATTGGCAGCAAAGGGAAATGAAAGGTGAGTTTTATCCATCTTAGAACCTACAATTTGACATTGTGCAAATTTTAGATCAGTTGCATGTGATTAAAGAGTCAAGTTTTGTCCTTGTAGATGTCCGTAGTGAGTAGATTCGAAGTTTTTCTCTTATTGCTATGTCTTTCAAGTGCATCTTTATTAGGGGATCAAATGACTTTTAAGTTTTGAATCCATGGTGAATGTTGTACTTTGAGAGCCATCCATTAAAGAATTATGGTGCATCATCTCCAAGGCCAAGTTGTTTAGCAAATTGACGACCTTTTCCTTGATCAATTTAACCAACAATGCTACCTGACATGCTTGGCATTGCAAAATTAATTTGCTAAAGCTGTATCAAGTTTACGGTGTGCCACTGTTCTTTGACCCTGAGCTGTGAGATCATTCGAGGCCATGCTTTCATATTGTTGACGCTTACCAAGGATGTTGATGATGGTTCCTTGTTTTCGGAATTTAGAAAGTTGAAATTGCTCCATTACCCATTTGGCAAGGGTGGACTGTGGAATGGAGGGATTCATTACTTTTTGCAAACAAATTTCAAGTCTTTGAGCATTATTGAGTGAATAATGTTTCATTTTGGGAAGAACTAGGTATAATTGGAGATGTTGAAGTTTAGAACAAAATTTTGCTAAACCAGGGTTCTTACTTAACTTTTTCATGATGTTGGTTTTCTCAATATTCCTTGCAATTAATTTATATTGGAAAGATGTACCATCCTTGCATTTAATTTTTTTGTGGATGTATATCAAGATCATTGCTTTCTTGCAAACAATAAATATATTAGACTAATTAGCATGATGAACACTTTCTAACTACAGAAGTATGTAGTGGCAATAGCAAATATGATGAAATAATTTTTTTAGTTTGACGTTTTAAATTACAATGGCTCTTTATAATTTATAGAGGTCAGATTCAACTTGGATACGATTTAAATTAACAATATAAAAGAACTGGAGTTGTTCATTTCAAAAAGCAATACATGCCAGGACTAAAATAAGATATGAGAGTAGATAAGCCTTGTTTACTTGATAAATTTTGTAATTTGCTTAGTCCTTGGAGCATTGCGAATGCTTTTAAAGGGTCTTCTATCTATCACATGACATGTTAGCTATATGTACATGTTAACAAATTATTAATGTAATGACTTTGGCAGTAAAAAAAATGTACTTAAGTTCTCATTCTCTTTTAGTTGTTGATTGATAGACCAAATCTGCAATTGAGATGCCGCATTTTGTTTTGATATGATGAGGTTGGAATCATCACACTCATGGGTTTAAAATATTCCATTCATGCTGAATTACCTGTTCTTTTAAGTCATTCTCGTGCTAAAGACCCATGGAGCGCTTGTTGTCTACATTTTGTGCTATCAGTCTGCTCCATTTACTTTCAAAGTGATTTTATAGGCTTTTGGAAGGAACTCTTGTACTCTACTTTTATTTATGTTTATCTTAATTGCACTATTTGGTGGTGAAGAGTGTACTGCATTTGTGTTTTTCAGTTGTTTCTTACTCTTAAGAGATTGGCAATTTGTAGAGGATGGATGAACAAATACTGATGCTGAAATATTTTCATATATTCATTATTATATCAAGATCATGGTGTGCAATCACTTCCTTGCCATGATTTTGATACCTGAGTTTTTTTTTTTTGTTGTACACATTATCACAATGATTTGCTTCAGCTGGATAATCTGGATACTTTCTGTCATTTTTAGCTCAATGATTTTGAATTAAAAAGAAAACTGTAAATTATTTGTGCACTTTCGGTTGCTTATTTTGTGCTGCTTTACAGCTTTTTTACCTGGTTTAGTGATAGCCAGCAGAAAGATGATGTGAATGAGATTCATGACGAGGTAAATTCTGCCACATGCCAATTTTTTCATGAGCTTGAGGTTACTCTTTTTTTTTTATATATACATTTTCATATTTGTTCATTTTGAACCAAATATTTCTTAGCAGGTCGCTGAATTAATCAAGGATGATATCTGGCCAAATCCTCTAACATATTTTTTTGATGTAAGCTTTTGTTCACGCTCATCTTTCGTAGTTGTCCATGACATACTGATGCAAATTAATTATCCACTCCGTGTACTTTGACTTTATAGTGTTTCTGATTTGATGTGTTGTATACCCTTTCTGCAGGAGGCAGACGAAGAGGATTCTGACATGGATGATGGTGATGAGGTAGGTGTAAAAAATTATTTTTTTACTCTCTTTTACCCACTGTAGAAGATGCAGTACTAGCATATGATGTATAATTTGTCTTATCACAAATTCCTTGTTTTTCTTCAAACGTGTGTTTATTGCTTACATAGACGGCTTACCATCAATTCTTGCTTCTTCTTCTTTTTTTTTTTTTTTTTACTGGGAACTCTTTTTGTTCAAATTCTAGAAGCTATCATTACCTGAACTTGGCGCGGCACTTTTTGTTTATGAATGGCTATCTTATATATTGCCGTAACTTTGAGAAGTTCCTTATATTGCTCCTCAGACTCAACATCCCTTGCTTGGTAATGCTTCATCTTATTGAAATGATGTTATGGGCTTATTGCCTCGTGTCTGAGAAAACATTTTATATGGTAGCTAAAAAGTGCAGAATTAATATGTGGAATATGGAATGTGCCATGTATATAAAAGTTGGGTTAGTAAATAGGCCATCAATCCTGGTATCCTCCCCATAGATGCAACTATTGTGGTGCTTCTCTTATGACTAAAAAGTGCGGAATTAATATTTGGTAATGTGGCATATACATAAAAGTTGGGTAAGTAAAATAATTTTCCTTTTCCTTTTCCTTTATTGGGTGGATATAGATAAGGTAGTAAAAATGTGCGCGCTGCCTGAACTCAGATACTTTTGTGATAGTTAGATGGTAAACCACTTGAACTTTGTTATTTTTTACTAAACTTTAGTTGGAATAACAAATATAATTTAGCTCCTGTTTGATGTTTATTAAAAAGAGTTTTTTTTTTTTTTT